CCCAGCAGCCTTAACACCATGTCAAGAACCCCTGGCCTGTGCTGCCCCTCTGGGACGCTCCAGCTGAGGGGGTTGGCTCCAAACTCCAGCTGCTCCACGGCCTCCAGGGTTCTCAGCCGGCCCCAGGGGGCTCGAGTGTGTTCCCTGCTGCTCTGCACACAGGGAGGTGGAGGAAGGAAATCTGGAGAGGAAGCTGAACTTCCTGTGCCAGAGATTTTAGGCTGGAACCTTCCCTGAATTCAAGACAATGCAGCAGCAGCTTTAGATGTGAATCACTGGAACTCAGACGTGCAAGACTCGAACACAGACCCTTCTGCATCCACACCTGTGATTAGGGACTCACGTGCTTCTGACTGATTTTCAGACCTGGCTGTTGCCTCTTGCATCCCCCATCCTGTCTCCAGTCTGATGAGAAACTCCTCCTTTTTTAGTTTCATTTCTCTGAATGCTGTTTGAGACTCAAAGTAACCAGTTTGGGGGTGAGGATGGGCCACAGATCCCTGGGGGAACGACCCCACAGACAGAGGCACGAAGGGAACAGGCACCCAGTGACCACCTCAGAGGATGCAGAGGGTTACTCTGGGCCCACATTCAGCAGGTGAAATTAAGGACAAATTCCTGAACGATTCAGGCAAGCTGGAGAAAAGGTGGGGTTGAATATTCTGATGGTCAGGGTGCTGAAGCATCTGATGGACCAGGAGAGGACGAGCGAGCTGGGGGTCCTCGAGATGAGGTGGTTCAGGAGGGATCTATCACCCAACTGCCAGGGTGAGCAGCAGTGGGAACAACCTAAAATACAGGAGAGCCCATTCAGAAGGCTCCTTTCACTCCAGGGGGGGTCAGAAGTAGAACAGGTTGCCCCGAGGGGCAGTGAGATCCGAATCCTTGTGGAATTCAGAGCCCAGGCAGGCAGGGCCCTGAGCAAGCTGCCCTGCTGAGCAGGGGGCTGGGTTAAAGGGTGGCCAAAGGTCCCTTCCAACCCCCGTGATCCCAGAACTGTTTACCAATGGAAACTAGAGCAGACACACTGAAATGGGTGCAGATCGAGGTGCCAGGATATCGGTGGCAGGGCTGGAGCCTGTCACACCCCAGGGTGTTTCTTGATTGAAAGAGAGCCCTACTCATTATTACAGATTTTTTTTCCCCCCTGATTATTACAGTGAAAAATAACAGAACATATATCCCAGATGGCCCAACCAGCGTTTTACAGCAGGCACGGTGGGCCTTTCCTCAAGGTGAAAAAGCCTTTCAGTGAAATAAGTGCGGAAGGAGCCGACCTTCCCACGGCCACTCCGGCTCACTGCCCCCATCTGCTGGGAACAGCCGCGGGGAAACCTTCCCCACACGCACCCGGCCTGTTTGTTTGCGTGGCCCTCTGGTTCCCTGGCTGCTCGCAGCCCTCCTGCCTCCCAGCCCAGCCCAGCCCAGCCCAGCCCAGCCCAGCCCAGCCCAGCCCAGCCCAGCCGGGGTGACCTGGCATGGGGGCAGGACCAACCCCTCTGCCCCCTTCCTTGGGGTGTGTGACAGCTCCTGTCCCCTCTGCCCCCTTCCCTGGGGTGTGTGACAGCTCCCTGTCCCCTCTGCCCCCTTCCTGGGGTGTGACAGCCCCTGCCTCCTCTGCCCCCTTCCTCGGGGTGTGTGACACCTCCTGTCCCTTCTGCCCCCTTCCCTGGGGTGTGTGACACCTCCTGTCCCTCTGCCCCCTTCCCTGGGGTGTGTGACAGCCCCTGCCTCCTCTGCCCCCTTCCTCGGGGTGTGTGACACCTCCTGTCCCTTCTGCCCCCTTCCCTGGGGTGTGTGACAGCTCCCCCACAGCACACGGGGTGCTGGCTCACAGGGACACTGCTCGGGGGGGAAAGGAGGTTTCTTGCCCCTCTTGCTCCTCTCCCCTCGGCCAGGAACCTTGTGGTGATGTCTGCACGAGGCACCTGAAGGCCAGAGGGGCTCTCTCTAAACCTCACTCTTGGCCCCCGTTTCTTCTCTGGATTTCCCCCCTTAAGAGGGGGAGGGAGTGGGGAGGTTTTTTCCCCTGCACTTCGTGTCCCACACAAAGTTCATCATGCTCTGACTGTACCTGTGGTTCATTATGACAGCGCAGCCCACGCTCCACGGATTCATCCTCAAAATTCCCTGCAGGAGAAGGCAGAGCTGCAGTCCCCACTCCCAGCACACCTGGAGTGGGGCACACTGCGGGTCCCAGGCCTTGGCACTGCCCCTCCTTCCCTGGGGGTGGAAGGGAGCAGCTCCTGGAAAGGGAAAGAGCAGTGCACACCCAGGAGCTCCACACCAGGCTCTTCCTTCCTGAGCAGCTTGGGAAAGCACGGGGAAAACTGAGTCAAGAAATCAAACACCCTAACGCAGATTCAGGAATTTCTGTGTTCAAAATAGATTTTTTTCCTCTCTCCAAGTGCCCAAGGTGAGCTTTGTTATTCTAAAAAAAAAACCACCACAAAACGAAACACCAAAACCCTTGTAAAGTCTGTGGTCTTTTCTACAGGCCCTTCTTTCCTCCCAGGGAGATAAAAAAGAGCTCTGGCATTTTATATTCTAAATTTTGACTGACCAGAACAAAATGTTTTCCCGGCAACGTGGGTTTGCACCTCAGCCTTTTTTTTTGTTTCGCTGACCTTAGGATGGAGAATTTCATAAAACATTTATTGTCTTCTCCAGTTTTTAGAGCACAATTCCCCTGTGACACCTTGTTTTCATCGTCTGCTCTGAGTAGGATTCCAAGGCTTCTCTGGCAGTTTGAATTTTAATTGTGGGTGAAGGGAAGAACCTCCGCTATCTGCAGCAAAATTAGTCAGTGCCTCCCTGAGCAAAAAGGGGTTCCAAGAGGTAAAGATGATGGGAATGAGAGCCAGGAGACAGCCAAGAACCTGCAAAGTGTTTCTGGGAGAGGTGTTTTTTTCACAAGTGGGCAGGTTTGTGTCCCAGTGTCCCTCCACCCATCAGCACTGGCACGGCTGGGATCCTTCTCCCCCAAAAACTGCAGCTGATAAAGATGAAACACAGCTCAAAACCAACCCAACCAACCTCCTCCTGAGCTATTGAGGACAGCCAGGCAGACAAAGGAATGGGTTTTCTCTGACTTTCCCTGCAGCCGGGCCCTGCTGATGCCTCGCTCTGGATGCTGCAGGTTCCCCACTTAATACTCTGCAAAGCTCATAATGCACCGATTAGAAGAGCCGTTCCAGAGGTACCACTTTAGTGGGGTGGTTAACGAGCTCGGCCATCAAGGGATTTGCAGCCCGAATTTCCTGACAGAGCCAAGGTATAATTTGCTCTGGGCTAGAAAGCCCATGAATTATTGAGGCAATTTACTTGCACGTCTGTGCCTCCTTCCAGAGCACGAGTGCTCGTGCTGAGAGCTGTGTGAGAGCAGAGACAGGGCTGTGTGTGAGCAGGGACAGAGCTGTGTGTGAGCTGGGGAAGGGCTGTGTGTGAGCAGGGACAGGGCTGTGTGAAAATGGGGAAGGGCTGTGTGTGAGCATGGACAGAGCTGTGTGTGAGCAGGGACAGGGCTGTGTGTGAGCTGGGGAAGGGCTGTGTGTGAGCAGGGACAGAGCTGTGTGTGAGCAGGGACAGGGCTGTGTGAGCAGAGGCAGAGCTGTGTGTGAGCAGGGACAGAGCTGTGTGTGAGCAGGGGACAGGGCTGTGTGTGAGCAGGGACAGGGCTGTGTGTGAGCAGAGACAGGGCTGTGTGTGAGCAGGGGAAGGGCTGTGGGTGATTACAGAGAGGGGCTTTTCCTTTCCAGGTGTCACGAAGCTGGTGTGGACAGAATGAGACCTGAAGAGATCTGGTGATGGGGAAAACCAGCAGCCTGACAAATGAGAATTCTTAGAGCCTCCATCCAGCTGGGCTAGAACCTGCTGTGGGACCAACCTCCCACCTGGGGTTCTTTTTAAACCTGGTTTCTTATGGAAGGGAGGCTTTGGAGTCACAGCCAAATCCATGTCCTGTGTCCCCTACTCCCACTCTGCACACCAAACTCTTTCTCTGACTTATCCAATTAAACAGCAACAGCCCAGGTGATCATTTTTCCATCCAAATTCCTGTGCTGTAGCCTCATGAAAGGCAGCTGGGAGCGAGTTTCGAGCTGTGCAGACCAGGATTCAGCAGAGCAGCCTTTCCACCCCCTGTTCTGACACTGGTTCCCTCAGGGGTCTGTTCCCCCCTGGAACAGGGGTTTATATTGATGAACTGGACCTCCTGCACAAAAATAAACCCTTCTCGGGGGGAAGAGTTCTGTGTTTGCTGCAGGGATTTCAAGGGGATTTGTAAATCCCCTCGTCGTGATCTGCCTGTCTGGAGGGAGGTGGCTTCTGCAGTGCTCTCAGGCTGAGGAGAGCTGGGCAGTGAAAGTGTAAATAATGAACACGGGAGGATCTGCTCCCAGGGCTGCCATCCCAGGCTGTGAGGGGTCAGAGTCCCCCTAGCTGCTGGGGGCAGTGGTGGATGTGAACAGAGCTTCTGTTTGAGTTAATGAACCACCTCTTAAGGCAGAGCCTGGGCAGGACACAAGGCTCTTCAGCAGGTGGAGAGGAACCACCACATTATGCCCTTATTGTAGGAAGTCAGGGGCATTTGGGGTTTGGAGTGGGGTTTTGCATCCCCCCAAAGCACAGGGCAGTCAAACCGCGGGGTTGTTGCCATCCTCCCGCAGCAGGTTCATCCTTCCCGAGCCGCTGCCGGCGCTGCTCCCCCCAGAAGGGCGGGACTGCCCTCTGGTGTCATCACTGTGGCTCCCTCTGCCTCCAGCTCTGCTGCTGAGCCAGCTCAGCCATTTCCCTCCAGCAGATGTTCCTGCTCTGCCAAGGCAGAGGTTTGTTCCTGAGCGCTGTCCTGGTGGAGAAGGTCAAATAAAAACACCTCTGCCGTTTTTGTGCCCTGCACACACCCAGGACTGGGCACACACTGCCCTCCCAGCCAGGGACCCCCAAAGTTACCCGGGGTTATGCCCAGTCTCCATCTTGACACAGAAAAAGCAGACAGGAGAAAGGATAAAACAGGAGAAATATAATGAAGGATGACAGAGAGGAGACCCAAGAGAAGCAGAGTTGTTACTCCAGTCAGCCCTCACAGTGAGGGACGTGCAAGTTAAATATAGAGCCGACCCTTCCCCGGGGAGCCCGGGCAGCTCAAACACACCGGAGTGGCTGGCAGAGACCTTCCCTCCTAAATCACTGCTGCTCATTTCCACAGCAGTTCTTGCAGCAATGGCTGGCACAGAGTAACAGTCTCCCAAAAGCTGTGCAGGCTTCTGTGCCCACCCATCCTACTGCTGATCAGTGACGGACCCCGGGTTGTGCTCCCGTTAATGGCACCAGTGCTCACTTCCCCTCCTGCTCCCACCCCACAGACAATCCCAGGGCAAGGAGCCACCCTGGGCATTGCTCAGGTTCTTAAAGGCAGCCAAATCAGCACCTTGTTAGAGGGGAATCAAGAAAATCCCTGCTCAGGAGTGGGCAAAATTCCTTCTGTTTGGAATAAGGGAGGGCAAGCAAGGGAAGGAGCTGCCATTAAAAGGCCTCTCCCAGGCCTTTTTTCTCTGTTTCTCTCTGGGCTGTGGCTGCTGTAACCAGCTCCAAGCTCCCAGGTTCAAATGATGCCCAGCAGGTATCCCTCTGTCAGTATTCCCCAAGGCCCATCCCAAGGAATAAGTTCCTTGGGCTGTTGCCCAGCCTGTACAGTGGGATTTGTACCTGCAACTTGTTCTGGCTGTTCTGTGCCACCCTGCTCATCCCTGAGCTCAGCTGAGTTCTGAACTGGGCAAAGCTGCCAGGAGTCTGGGATTCTCTGTCCTGTGCTGACTGAGAGCCTGACACCTGAGCAGGTAACAAAGGAGAAAGGCATCTCTGAAATGTTTGATGAAACCCATCAGCAGCACTGAGCCCAGTGTGCAAGTGTCTCTTTGGGACTGATGTGCATTTTACCTGGAAAAAATAAACACTGAAAGGATCCTCCCCACAAGGCAGCTCTTCTCAAAAATAGGAATTTAAAGATTTACAAAACCTCGACAACAATCCCTTTGGGTCTCATGACCAACCACCAAGAAGGGTCTTTTCTCCTCTGTGTCTTTCCCTGTCAGTGGCTGTGAAACAGTGAAGGCATTTCCCTCCATTTCCCTCCACACGCCCTCCTGTCCTTGCTTGGCTTCTCCAGGCTCATCAGGAGCTTTGTACCTCTCCAGGCTCCTGAGGAAGTTTGCACATCTCCAGGCCCATGCAGCAGTTTGTCCTCAGCAATTTTCTGGGCAGTTGATGTTCTCAAAAGAAGAGAAACTGCAGAGGCTGCTCAGTGGGACTTGTGGGGATTCCCCCCTTCAGCTCCAGCTTGGGAAACTTCTGTTCTGGGACAGCAGCTTCCTGCTTGTTCTGTTCTGAGTGTGCATTCCCAGGGTGGCAGAATTCCCCAGACCTTTTTTATTGCTGGACACAAGGAGTGTTTTTTTTTAATCAGAAGATGAACGAGCATTCACGTCCCACTTCTACAGGCATTTTTAAACTGCTGCCCTTTTACCTCATTTCATATCCTTGAAGAAGCCTTACCAGGGGATTTACAGAAGTCACAGAAAGCATTTCTTCTGGCAGATCATTGCAAGGGCACGAGAGGGAACATCTTCCCACCATAACCTACTTATAAACCCAAACCCTTCCCGTCCTCTTAAATTCCTACGGTCCTTCCCTGCCTGTCCTCCCCATCAGAAACGAGTCAGATCCGGGGCTGTTCTTCTGTGGCACCCTGTGAGGTCTCTGCAGTTGCCCGTGGTGCTGGATCCCTGGTGGCTGTCTCAGGTGGGTCCTGGCTGGGGCTCAGCCCCGCTGGTGTCCCCTGCTCAGGGATGTCACTGAGTGTCCGTGCCACTTCAGCCCCTGGCTTCCCCATCTGCACAGCCTCGTCGTAGGAAGGTGGCAAGTCCAGTGCATAGACACTGTAAGCTGGGGGGGACAGGGTGTTCTTATCCATATCCACAAACACTGCAGGGATCTGCACGCTCGGAGGGTACTGCCATGAGCTGTATGCTGGGAAGAAAAAGGATGGAAAATAAAAATGAAGCACCTGCTTGGAACACTGATAAGTAACAGGCTGGTCCTGCTTTCCTCAAGATACTGTGGACTCGTTTTTGTGGTGCCAGAACACATCACTGTGCACTTCAGCCGTCAGGAGAGAATCCCCCTGGTGGAAGCTCTGCATTCTCCCAAAGGAAGCGCTCAGGAGAGAAACAGCTCTGCATCTGAGTGCCAGGGAGTGCTGTGAAACACCTGCCCCAGCACAGGGGGTGACACAGGGGGCCCAGCTGGCTTGGACAGGAACAGCTGGGAATCCTCACATCAGAGGCAACTTCAGCTGGAATGTCCCTCAGGAAAAAATGAGGGAATGGTGAGAAGATCAGGTGGGGGAGAGGACACCTAAGAGGTTAACCCGCCATGGACTTTATTCTAACCTCTGAAGCATTAAATCCTCCTTGCCTTCTGCACCCACTCCCTGTGTCCCCCTGGTGACCTCCCTGGCTCTCCTGCCCACCCTGTGGGGCTGGAGCTGCTCTGGGAGGTTGCTGTTGTGGCAGGGGCTGGGCAGGATTGCAGGCTCGTGTTCCAGCGCTGGGGGTACTCACAGGTGACGGTGCTGTGGGCGGTGCTGTCGCTGTCGATGCCGATCCCTGCTAGGTCACAGGGGTGCCGAGGGAACGTCTCCACCGGGAGCCTCTTCCTGCGGCAGCACAGCCTGACACAGCTCGCCGAGAGCCCGCAGAGCAGGAGCAGGAACAGCGTCAGCAGGAGCAGCCTGCGGGGAACGGCGTCACTGGGGGCTGCTGCTCCACTGCCCCGGGCTGGGGGACCCATGAGGGGCTGCAAGGCAGGCCAAGCCTCCCTGGTTTAGTTCCCAGTGGGCACTGGATCCCGAATGAGAAAGTTGGATGCCAGGCCCTGAGCCCCAGGTTGAAGCAGAGCTGCCTGTAATGCTCATGTTGGGCAAGAGGTGAAGCCAGCAGAGCTTCCTATTTTCCAACAGCCCATTCCAGGTGTGAGTTCAGAGAGCAAACCCCACCCTGAGGTGGCACCTGGAGCCCAGGATGGTGCCCGAGGCAATGCCAAGTGCCAGCAAGGCTGTGCTGTGCCAACAGCCAGCACAGCTCTGGCTATTTAGGAACAACAAGCCCTGCAGTCCAACTGGAGTGCTCTCAGAAAAGAAAGATGACACAGCCCTGGACGAATGCTGGGCCTGACACCCTATCTCCCCTGGGTCAGCTAATCCACTCCTCTGGCAGCTCCCAGAAAACAGGAGAAGCCCTTCCCTCCATCCCAACCCAGAGAAGGGTTTCCATTCCCCTCCTGCAAGTGCTGCTCGAAACGAGTCCCTGATGGCTCTGGGTTAGTGGGAGCAGTGACCAACTCACCAGACATACCACAGGCTGGTCCAATCAGACATGTTCTGAGGGCATCTGGCAGGGAAGGCAGATGAGCCAGGGATTGCAGTAACTCCAGTCAAACAGTGCCTGTGTGACAGGGAATACAATTCCCAGGGTTTCTGAGGTGGAGAAGGGAAAGCAGTCAGTACGAGTATGGAGCAAAACCCCTTCAGATTTACCTTCAGAGAAATGTTCTTCGTAGCTGTAAAACTACTCCAGCTGAGAACACACAGACAATCCCTCTGTACAATTGGCTTCTGAGCCAAGGAACGTTTTTACCAAGTGGTGCTTTACTCTTCTTGGGAGAGAGAAAGACACGTGCAGGACTCCCAGACCAGCTCAGTGTTGTTTAAAGGTAACTGAGAGGAGGTGCCTCGTGGCACAGACCTGCCCAAACTGTGTCCCCCAGCTGTTGGGAAGTTACTCTTCCACAGCTCTGATGCAGCCAGAGGTGTTTTCAGCTCTGTTACAGAACAGGAGGAGAACACCTCGTGTCCCAGCTGCCACACTGCACACCCTGAACCTCCCATGGATTTCAGGCACCACAACAAAGGTTTTGGCCATGGGGGAGGATCTGGAGACTGGTCAGAAGTTGACACTTGCAGAGTCGTTCTGGGAGAGGGTCATTCACCTCAGCCTACAGAGCAAGGCCAGCCAAGTCACACTTGTGAGCCGCTGACCATCTCAGAGATCCCAAGGCAGCTGTCAGGGATGGCCATCAGCAGGTCACCGCTCTGACCTGGTCACGTCCCCGGGTCCCGCGGGACAGGGTCGGGAAGGGGCAGTGTGTTACTCACCGCTCAGAGCTCTCGCAGATCCCCAGAGGAGCAGAGCGATGCCTGAGGAGGGGAGGGAGCCGTGCCGGGAGCAGCACCGGCCGAAGGAGGAGCACCCCGAGCACCTGATGCCAGGGGCCCGGCTGGAGCGTCCGCGCTCCGGGGCTGAGCCGGGACAGCGACAGCGACAGCCGCGTCCTCAAGGACACGGGCTGGGCTGAAAGGGGACACCGAGCCCACATCGGAATAAATAACCGGCATCGGCATCAGCGGGCGGGGAGGGCCGGGCGGGGCAGGGGCAGGACCAGGACCGCCCCCAGGACTCCTGCCCCTGCCCCTTTCCCAGCCCCAATCCCTTCCCCATTCCCAGCCCCTGCCCCATTCCCAGCCCCAATCCCTGCCCCATTCCCGGCTCCTGCCCCATTCCCGGCTCCTGCCCCATTCCCAGCCCGCCGTGAGCGGGAGGTCGGGATGGGGATACCGAGGGACAGAGCTCGGCTCTCAGAGATCTCCCTGGAGTGCTCCGGGGATAACCCACCCTGTGCCGTGTCAGAGACACTTGGAAGGAGAAATAAAGGAATGGGAAACGTGGTGTGAGAGATGTGAGTCCGAAACAAGTGTTTGGAGAAGGAGATCATGGCCCTGTTTAAAAGCAGCCTCGTTGGAACACGGCTGAGAAGGTACCACTGCTCTCTGAGGGTCAGTTTGCTCCACACTAATTTAACCACACTTCACACGCAGAAATTCCTTATCTCCACCCATGAGCCTTTCATTTTGTGTTCCCTGCCAGAGAGAACGTGCTTTGGTGGACTCCTGACCTCCAGCCAGGGCCATCCCAACCCCAGGAACCACGCCATGGGAGCACCTGGGAACGCAGGGCCAGGGAAGCACCAGGTGCCATTCCCACTTTTGCTCCCCGAGGCCCAAAGCCGGTGATTCCAGTGGCCCGGGGCACACTGACCACAGTGTTTTCCTGCTCAGGGTCACGGGGCCGTGGCTCACCCAGGAAAACCTGTGCTCACACGTGTGACGCAATCGCTGAGGTCACTGCTGGAGAGGCAGGACATGAATTATTCAGCTGGGGGTGACACTGCTGCTCATTCTTGTACGTTCTGCATTAGAAATGAGCCGGGTTTGCCTTTTAAGGATTATAAAGGCCATCCACGGGTGTGAATTGCTTATTAAAGCAGAGCTGCATCAGCACAGGATGCAGTTTATGATTTTAGATCCAAATGGGAAAGCACAAGTCTGTGTCCAGTGGCCCAAGAGTGATCACAGCTGCAAAATTCAGTCTGAAAGCAGAATGATCACAAGTGCAGAAAACTTAAGCTTCTAGGAAATGCAGACATATTTCTGAGGTCACACTTTCCATGTTGTCCTCACAATAAGGGCTCCATCCCTACTGGGGTCCCGTGAGATGGACCCAGTGACACCTTTAGAATCTCCTGGCAGTTTTAATGCCCGCAGTGCCTGACTGTGATAAGCTGCTTTGGGAGCACAGAATGGAAGTGGATCCTGGGCCTGTCCAAGAGCTGAGCTTGCAGGAAGGCCGTGGCTGCCGTGCTGAGCTCCTGCTGGGAGCTGGCACTGATCCCTGCCAGAACACACCAGTGCTCCAGCTCTGTGCTCATGCATTCACCTACACACCCACCCCTTCTGGTCCAGCTCGTGTGTCTCAGTCATCAGGGGAGTTGTTTCCAGTCACAGCTGTCCCAGTCAACTGTCTGCTTCCAAGGATCCTCACACAATGGATGCCCCCAAATTATGTGCCTGGAATAACCCTTTCACTCCCACCTGCTGTGCTTCTCTTGCTCTCTGGGAACTCCCCTCTCCTGGGTCCCTGTCCCCCGGGGCAGCTCCACGTGCAGCAGTTTTCTGTGATGGAGTGGGATTTACTGGGATTTACTGGCCCTTCTCAGGCTGCAGGAGAACAGCACACACAGTCCATTGTCCCCAGCTCCAGCCCAGCTGTGCCAGGGCTCCAGGAGGGCAGAGCTGTCTCTGGCTGGCACTGCCACCCCCAGCTCCTGCCCCTCCCCTCTCTGATGCTGCAGCATCTGCAGCCTCCAGACTGAAGAGTTAAGTGACTCCACGGCCACTCGATCCATGATTAAATGGGAACAGATCTCAATGGATCAAACAACTGGCTGGAAAAACAAGGAAGCCCCTCATCCCTCCCACAGGCTTCCTCTGTCCCAGGGGCAGACCAGCTGAAGTGTTTCTGGTGACAGTGGCTTTGCCCCCAGCTCGTCACCACAGGAACATTTACAAACAGGGTTTCCATTTTGGGATTGCATCACCCAAACCAGGGAATTCACAGCCAAAGGGGCAAAGGGCAACACACCCTGGGAGAGGGGGGAGGGACCTCTGTCACAGCTTTACAGTGACTGAGGACAGAGCGTGGCACAAGATGTCAAAGGTTATCCATGTTTCCAGTGCCTGCTCCCTCCACTGCCCACCTGGGCTGCCTCTGCACTTCTCCCTGAACCAGCTGCTCTTCCTGACACAAGTTACACCTGCAGGGCCCTCTGGAGAGAGGCAGGAATCTCCTCTTAGTCAGAATCCAGAGGGAAGCAAACACAGAAACACAAAGTTCCTGGACAGCCAGGATGGAGGGCAAGGATGGAGAGCACGTGTCAGCAGGCAGGTTGCACAGGGCACTGGAAAAGGGACTGCCCAGATGGGCTGGAGGAGGCTTGGATGTGAACTTTTACTCTGCTCTTAAAAAAGTCAAGGATTTTCCAAATCCTATAAAAAGCATCTGCAATTGGAAAAAAGAGACCTTGTTTAAACTCGCCCATGTGGATGTAAAGCAAACACTCCTGCTGGAATGTCCACCTGTGGGAGACACTGGGATTAACAGCAGGTGGAGCTTCTTGGGCCCTCATTAATTCCTTCTTCTACCACAGGGTTATTGTCCCAGAGTCAGCTGGGGAATGACACTGGTGGCACCAGAGTTTACAGAGAACTTCTGGGGAAACAGAGCAGAAGTATGACATGTCCCTTCCTCCCTGCTCCCCTGGTGTATTCCAGCAATCCCCAGATGTCCCCAAGTCTCCCAGAGAGCAGTGGATTCCCAGCAGTGTCAGCTCCATCCTCCTCTCCGCCGGCCGGGAGCCCTCACGGGACGGGAGCAGAGGCAGACACGACTCGTGCCATCAGCAGGACTCGGTAACACTCCGTGATGTCACCCTTTAGGGTCAGCAGGGCTGTCACCAGGGGAGGGTCACTGACCTGCAGAAAGCCACAGTAAGCCCCACGTGGTTCCTGTCACAGAGCAGAGGACTTGCTCAGGTTTGCCCCTCCCCGCCGTGCTGGTTCTCTGCTGTTCCCAGCAGGGCTCGAGCTGCAGGCAGGGGGGTCTGACAGTGACTAAGCCTCTGTCCCCAGAGTGCCACTGACTGTGCTCCCTGTCACAGCAAGAGCAGAGCACGGGGAAGGAAACGGCTCCTGTCAGCCACCAGTGAGTGCTGCAGCTTGTGCAAGAGCCAGGGCTTACCAAGAGGCACAGTGTCCACCTGACCCCCTGCCAGGAACTCCAGTGCCCTCCCTGCATGTGACACCAGCAACCTCCTAATTTTGGAACAGGCTACTCATTCTGCCATCCCACACACCCCACTCAGTTCTTCCAGTGCCCATGAATGCCCACGGAGGTGAATCAGAAGGGGCAGTCACGGCCCTGTGGAGATGTTGGGACCTCAGACCCAGCCCCTGGGACACAAAAAGGCAGGAACAGCCAGGGAAACGGGGCTGCTGAAGTGGGAAATCAAAAGGCCCCACTGGCTTCCAGGAATGTGCCAAAGGAATGGCACAAAGAAATGTGAGCAGCACTGCAGAGCGATCCGTGTAAACCAGCTGTGCCAGTGGGATGCAGCAGTTCCCTCTCGGGGTCACTCAGGGACAGCAGCAGCACTTTGGCTCTGGGTGCCTGTAAGGAGTTATCCCCCAAAGGTGTCCCCGCGTGTCCCCACCGTGTCCCCGTGGCTGTCACTCACCTGCAGGTCTGCAGGTGGCGCCCACGACACGCGGACGCTCCGCTCCTGCCCGCGGTCCAGCGCTCCCCGCGCCTCCTCCAGAGCGATCCCCGCCCGCTCCAGCTCCGCCAGCGAGGCCAGGCTGAACTCCACGGCCTGCGAACACACGGCACCTCCCCTGCTCAGCTCGGATTAGCGAAGCCCGCAATGCCCCCCTCAAACTGCTCCTGCCCCTCGTTCATGGCTGTCACAAAGTGCTGCCACAAAACCCAATTCTGGGCTCAAATTGTGTCTTTCATTGTTAGGGAAGCAAAGTGCTACATTAATGATGTTGCTGACTTATTTAACCTCCTGTATTAGCCCCCCAAAAAGAACCTTTTCAAACACGGCTGCTCTTATGATGTAAAGTTTACCAGAAAACCCAAAAGCTGTTTTGTGATTTACAGAGTGAGTTTTGGACAGAGAGCAGCAGCAGCAGCCACCTGCACTCTGCCAGCACTGCCCACAGCACCCGACACAAACCTGCAGGTTCCTCTCCCTCACCTTCTTGGCTGGCAGCAGGGGGGTGTCCATAGCCCCCACCCTGAGCTCTGCCCGGGCTGGCTCTGCAGGGCCCGCTCCATCCACGTATTCCAGCAGCAGGAGGAGGGACCTCACCGGCTCCTGTGGCTCTAAACAGAGAGACACAGCCCAGCCTGAGCCATTTCAGCTCAGAACGAACAGAAATCGCATCAGGAGGGGTTAAAACCAGTGTGTGTTGTGGCACAAACTCCTGAGCTGGCACAGACAGGGAGATCCTTCTTACAGAGCCGGGGAGGAGTTCAGGAAAAGGAGGTTTTGCATAATTTGCAATCGCAAACTGCAGTTGTTGCTTGTTTATCAAGTTCCATGCTGGTTTTCCAGCATTCCCACGTCTCATCACCCCCTGCTCTGTGACAAGGTGTCAGTGGTGGCACTTTACCTGCTCTCAGTGCTTCCTGGGATGCCACAGATGATGTTACAGCCAAGGACTCCACGGGCACGTCCAGGGGAACCCCTCCCTCCACAAACATGGGGTGTTCCCGCGCCGCTCCCCTCAGGGGGATCTCGTGGGCTGTTTGCTGGGGGGGAACAGAGCTTGGGATGAGTGGCAGCTCAGTGCAGTGACAGCTCAGTGCAGTGGCAGCTCAGTGCAGTGACAGCTCAGTGCCACAGCAGCACCAGGGGCATGAGAATCATGGAATGATCCAGGCCAAGAGGATTCCTCCCTAATGCAGGAGCCCTGTCCCTGTCCCTGTCCCTGCCCACCCCTACCCTGCACTCCTGGGCACCGTTTCCCAGCAGGGGCTGCACAAACTGTTTACACAAACATCACCAAAGGAGGCAAAACTTCTCTGTTGCAAACTTGGCTGATTTCGTGAAGCAGGACGAGTGTCCAGCTGTGGCTGACCGGGGTTTGCATTCCAAGTGCCAGTGCCAGAGGTCTCTGCAGACACAGAGCCCGTGGGGAGGAGCAGTCCCTGCCCTGTGTGCGGCGCTGCTGCCAGGCCTCAGTGCTCACTCTGCCCTCGCTCTTGGCCCCATGTCCTGGCAGGGCCTGGGGTGCCTGCAGTGCCACCACCTGCCCATCCGGACGTGCATCCCGGGCTGCTCCCAGATGGAACCTCGGCCGAGCCCCCTCTCCTGGCGCTGCCTGCACCTGCCAGTCCCTGCCTGCTCCCCTGTCCCCTGCCTGCTCCCCTTCCCCTGCCTGCTCCCCCTGTCCCCTGCCTGCACCTGCCAGTCCCTGCCTGCTCCCCTGTCCCCTGCCTGCTCCCCTGTCCCCTGCCTGCTCCCCCCATCCCCTGCTGTGAAACCCTCCCTGCAGGGACCGCTCAGAACTGTTCTCAGCTCCCACCCCCCACTGCAGGGGGGGACAGGCCTGAATCGCCGTTGTTGTCAATCAGTGACCGAATATCCAAACCCAAAAGGGTCAGGGAGCCCCAGGCCTGCCCTCCCCTCCCTGCACCAGGGCAGGAACACCCAGACTGCTCCCAGGACCCAGCAGGGCTCACCTTGCCGAAGAGCAGGACCCTGAGGCAGTCAGAGTAGTACAGACTCTCGTGGTCAGGGCTGAAGGTGACCACCAACTCCTGGCTCTTCCCAGCCTCAATTTCCCCCTCTGTTGGAGAGACGCTGAACACGCTTAAGCCACTGTAGTTCTGTGTTCCTGGTAAACAAAAACGAGGGTGCAGCTAAGGAAGGAGGACAGTCCATCTTACTTCCCCATAAATTTTAAACCCATCTAATTTTTGTTGGAACAGCGAATAAATGAGAGCTGACACATGGCTTTGCAGCAAAACAGACTGTTATAAACACCAGATAACTCCATCCATCAGTTTAATAAATTCACCTCCAGAGGAACTGAGGTAGCATCACCAAACCCTTCCTATATTCTGATGTGTTTTCACAGAGATGGACATCCCTAAATATAATCTGTGACAGGCAATTACTGTGTGGGTTTATTTAAACACCAATATCTCCTTCCTTGTGGGAATTTGCTGAGGCTGCATAAATTTACAGCTGCCCATATTGAAGGACTCAGCACAGCTCCTACTGGGGAGCCAAAGGAGGGCTTTAATTTCAATGCTGTGTCAGGTCTGACAGTTGTGCAGACCCACCAGGACAGAGCAATGCTGCTTTCCACTGCCTGAGTCCTCAGCAAAGGGAAAAGGGGAAAGGAAGAACCAGGTTTACCAACAACCTCTGCTCTCTGCACAGAGGGGCTGAGAAAGGCTGGCATGCTCTGCCGGTCTCTGTCCCGGGTGGGTGACAGCGACTCCAGTTGTGTGGAGAAGGGCAGGGTCAGGCTGGAAGTGTTCTGTACCTGGGGACATCCATTCACACAGCTGCATTAGCACCGAGGGAGTTGATTCCCAGGCCTGGAGGGTCCACAGCTGGCAAACTGGCTGAACTGATGCTGCTGCACTGCTGCAACACCCCCAGGTGCCGCTGGGGACACACACATTAGTGCTGCCCAAAACGTGCCACACCAACCCCCACCCCCAGCAGGACCAGGCTCCTTCCAAGGGTCTTCCACCAAGTAACAGACCCTGGTCATTGCCAGACTTGGACAAAATCTGAGAGGAGACAATTCATGTCGACCTCCTCCCTACCACAATCCCCGAGGTGCTTCCCGGTGTGCAGAGGGACTCACCTGGACTGTGGAGGTCACCTGCTCCCTGGCCATGACATAGCCCATGTCCAGCACTCCTGCCACGGAGCACACAGTGCCTGGCACCACCCCGTGCCCAGACAGGTGCAGGCTGAGGGTGCAACTGGCCATCCTGATGTCCAGGGTCTCAAAGAACTGCCAGGAGGAACGTCTGGGTTATTCCATCTGCTGAAGGAAACCTCCCACCCCTCCAACAGAACCCTTCCCACAAATGGGCCATTACAGAACTCCTGGGGGGAGTGCACAGACACTAAACCCAAATGCTGGGAGGGGCAGCAAAGGTTTTCTCATTACTTAGAGTCTCATCCCTGTTGGTAACACATGAGTTACACACCCCTCATATCCCTCTCCTCTTCCCCCCACTGCTGTTGTATCTCCTACTCACCCATTTATCCTCATCTGGACAAAAAGAGATGACCAGGGCTTTACTTTCACCTGGCTCAAGCATCCCAACTGCCCTCACCAACAGGAAGGGGCCATTGGGGTTCAGAGCTGAGAATCCCAGCTGGAAGGGTGCAACTCAAGGAAAAACGTTCATAAAGGTTGAGCAAAAATACATAAGAACAGACTCTACACATTGTTTATGTGTCTTCAGTCTGAACTAACCATCAACAACTCAGAGAACCCCTGCAGAGGCAGAGGATTAGGCAGAGGCAGAGGATTAGGCAGGGGCAATGGCAGGTGTGTCCCACTCAAGGATACCCCCACCTTCCCTGGGGAGATGTTCTGCAGTGGAATTCGTTTCATCGTCCTGTGGCCTGCCAGGAATGGAAACAGCTGCAGCAGTGATGCTGCTCAGCCCTGCCCTCCCGTTCCTCCTCCTCACTCCTGCTTCTCCCTGGGCCAGACACTCATTCCCTGTCCTTGGCCAAGGCACCAGGCCAAGCTCCCCAAGATGCTTTCAAAGCTGTCGAGCTCCCAGCTCCATGCCTGGGATCCAGGCTGCTGTTTCCTGGGCCTCAGCTGGCCAGACAGGCCCCTCATTTCCCACCCAAATACCTATTAAGGGCTAATTTCCCTCCTGGCTTTTGAAAACACAAAACTGTGCTCAGAGGACCCTCCTGTCAGCCAGAGAGCACCCAGCACCTGAGTTAGGCTCCATACCTACAGCCACGTCACCAAAGGCCACGGCGTTGTCCCCGCTGTCACCAGTGACCACGACAGCAGGGGCCACAGCTGGGCAGTGCAGCTCCAGGAACAGAGTGTTGGAAGGGCTGCAGAGAGAGCAAAGGGGGCCAGGCAGCAAAAGGGCACTCAGCAATAGGAGCTGTGGCCAGAAAGCAGCTCCTCTCACAGGCTGTGACTGCAGGGAGTGACAGCCCCACACGTGACTCCTGGTGCTCACTCTGGGCCCAGGCAGAGCCATGAACTATTTGGCTTCAAAGTTTTCACACAATTATTCTTTGAGCTGCTTTGATATTCGTGTCTTTGATTCTTATCCAACTGGTGGGCTGTGAGCACGAGCTTGTACTGCTGAGCCATGAAGTAATCCAGAGCAGAAAACAAGTTTCTCCCCCAGGGGAATAAATTGCCACCATTTCCCCCCAGCATTTCTGGACTATCAGATGCAATACCTGCAGCTCAGGTGTCCAGAGCCCTTCTCTCCAGCAGCCTGTCCACTTGCAACAAAGCAGGGAATGATGTATTTCTTAAAACTCCCACGGAAACTCCTCATCAGGGAGGCCTGGGCTGCCCTGTAAGCATCAGAACTAGAGAATCCAGGAAGAAGAATCATCTCAGTGAGTGAGAGAGCAAGAAAAACACCAAATAAATATCTACTGAGCTATCTGTGATTATTGTTTCTTAGTTACACGTTGAAAATTGGATGTAACAGTGAAACCAAATGACTGTCAGTAATGGACCCACCCCCCAAAGTGGTTGGCTTTTGTTGCCAAAAGAGAACAAAAACTATAAACCCAGATAGCAGATGTTATCCTAAAGATTGCAAAATCCTCAGTACAATTTCCTTTGCTTGAACACAGCAAGTGTTCCAGTGTCTTCCAGTCCTTCTGCACCAATGACATGGGAACACCCAGGATCACATCCCTCTAGTCCAATATGTGAGCAATACTTTAAAATAGGAATTTTGTTTTATGACCTCTACTGAAAGTATTTAAAAACTGTAATTGTTGGATTGCAATGAACATGGGATTTTAGTCAAAAACATCAATACATCCAGTACAGCCAACCCCCTGGTGCTTCAGTATGTATTTACTTCCACATTCCTCAGATTAGGCAGAAACGTGGCTCTGAGAAGGTGAATTATCTGCTAAACCAGGGACCTCAAGTATCAGACTTTGCATCCAGGAACCCAAATTTGCAGGCAGCACGTGGTGCCAGTGCTCACTGAGGGGCACACCCTGGCCAGTGACTGTTCCAGTGCCCGTTTCCCAGCAGGATTTCACTGCCAGCACTGCAGGTGACCGTGACTGATGCCATGGGCTGTGCAAACCCTCCACTCAAACCCAGAGCACTCCACGCTGTGCATTTGGGCCATCAGATGGTTCTGTCTGTTCTGCTCACCAAAGGTTTAGTGGTCCCAGTCTCTGGGGGTCAGCAAGGCCAGCTCTGTAGCTGCCCTTTAACTGAAGCCCAGGCAGGCTCAGCCCAAGCCACGCTCAGCCCCAGCTCCTGCTCCCTGACAGATTCTTTGAAGTCTTCAACCCTTCTGATGCATAAAGGGATTCTTTGCCTCACATGAGAGGGTACAGCTGTGTGGCTCTCAAGTAGCACTAATTTTGGAAACAGCCTCTGCAACACAGCTCAAGCTGCTCCCTCTCCAGTTTGCTTTCTTGTCTACCTACATCTTTAGTAGATTTATTAAACTACTTCTGAAGAGAATGTTGTCTGTGTAGTACAAGATGCTTTTGCTGACTTACTCAGGATTTAACTCTTCAGGTTTTGGCTCTCCAGAGCTCCTTACAGCAGTCAGGTTTTTCCTGCCTCCATTCTTCTCAGGCTCTTTGGGAATGGAAATGCTCAGTTTCTTTCCCTCTCTCTTGTCATTTTTCTTCCCTTTGTCCACCAGACACTCAGGGTCACCACTGGGAATCTGACCAAGACACGAGTTGACAAACACACAGCCCAAGGACACAGAGCCAAGGAGGTGACAGAGGGCACAGAGCAAGGGACAGCAGGACTATGGTGACAGCCCACAGACACAGCAGATTTACAGACATTTCCAATAACGTAAAATTAAGTTAAAATGGACATATTTTACCCCCTCTTAAGAGAGGAGTTCTGTATCTTAAGGGAATTCTACCTATTATCTCATAATTAAGGACAACCACAGGGGGTCACAAATGACCTGACCCAAGGGTTGCACATAAAGTCCAAGGATGCTGTAAATCTGCAAGAAGGGTAGAAGCTTTTTTTGTTTGTCTGTTTTAAGAGTATTGCAGTTGGCATTTGCCATAAAATCCCCTAGGCATGCTTTGGAAATGGTTAGCAGATTAAATTATTGCCACAGCACAGTCCCACCCTCGTCCTCTGCAGGCAGGTCCTGCACGGACCACGAGCTGGGGCTTCATTAATATGCAGATAATTTTATGATAAAAATACCACCCAGAGAAACAAATCTCTGGAAGTGGCAGACCAGCAGCATGTGCTGTTCTTAGCACTCCTTACTTGAATTCCTGCCTCTGGCACAGCTGCTGCGCTCAGCCTGCGAGCTGCCTCCTCCCTGACGAGCTGAGCCGGCAGCGCGGGGCGGAAGGACACGCGGATGGAGCTTCTCTGGGGAGAGGAGAGCACAGCAGGGATGGGGGCACGGCCCAGCCCTCCCAGAGCACACCCCCCACAGCTCAGCATTCACACACAGACGGGAGGAGCCTCGGGATAAGGTCACTCACAGCTTCCCTGCAAGGCCAGGATGTCACAGCGGGCTGGGTCTACACGACCGGCACTTCTGATATTTAAACATTCTTCAAATAGGTCCCAGTGACAACACTGGGGGAATGTGAACACTCCCAGAAGGCATTAGCCACATTTGGTGGTTCACCCTCAGGTCTGATTTAAACCATTATTTCAAACAATGCAAAATATTCCAGCTATTCTAATAATAATTGGTGTTTTGAGCTTCATTCCCAAGCGACAGCCTTTGTGGAGATGTGATGATCCAAGATTTGGCAGAACACTGGACATCTGAAGTGAATTTACCTGCCCAGGCAGCACAGTTCCCACAGCAGGTGTAATTGTCACGGGACAATCCTCTGGCACGTGGAATTCAAAGGAAGTGGGTCCAACTGGGGCAGGTTCCCCGGAGCCGATGCGAGGGACAGCGTGGATGAGGCTGTTCCCACTCACGTGGGGGTTGAGCACGTCCAGTGTGGCTTCAGACACAGAGTTCAGAGCTGTAGCAGCAAACTGAACCAAGGAATGAGACAATTCAAGAGGTGGGTGGACTCCAACTGCTTTGCATGACAGCTTGAATTGTCTAAAAATAAACACATGATAAATTGTCTCAGCATAAAATAGTGTCTTAATCAGCCCGGAAAATAGGGAGCTAATCCTGTAGTCCCTATTTAAGCAGAATTTCAAGCTTGCAATGGGAATTTTGCCTAAAGATGAACAATAATACTATCTATTTTTAATGCACAATTGGCCAGAGTCCCTGCTTGAATTCTTCCTCTGTGAACTTCTGGAAACACATCCAGTCAAACCAAAGTTTATGCCATGATTGTTGCAGCAGCATTAGCCTAATGCACGAAGCATTTGTACAGAAAAGAATTCCTTCAGTGGTTCTGCAGGTTGGGGTGACCTGGGAGCTTGGAAACTGGACAAGGATAAACTTGAGGAGGGGGAGGAAAAGTCACCTCAGTAAAGACAAAAGTGTCAGCCAAGGCTGAAACCAACAGGCACCGAGCAACTCTTGTCAGCTGGAGAATTCCCACTGGCCTCACGTGTCTATCCCACACTTCCCTCCTCAAAGCAGCCAGGGCTCTGATTTCTGGAGCAGCTTAGCAGTGGAAGTCCCTTGGGATTTCGATTTCCACATCACCTATATCCAGTCTCTTCCCACACCTGTTAATCTCTGTCGTGCAGGTGAGCTCAAAGCTGTACTCTTTGGCCTTGGTAGCTTTAAAGATCACGTCCAATGTCAGGCTTTCCAGGGGAAGAATAATTCCAAATCCATCGTTGGGTTGAACTTCAATAAACTTCAAAACGGCAGGATAAGAACTTATTAGTTACATTATCAATTTATTAATAAATTAAGATATTACTGGTAAGATAAGCAAATTTTGTTATTAAATGTGGAAGTGTCTAGGAAAGAGAAACCTTCTAGAGAGAAGTTTTGGTCTGAGTTTGTGATGAGTCTGACTGAAGTGCAGATTTCTCATCTCAGTAACTCAAAAGGGATTAAATCCATTGGCTCAGACTTCAGGAGAATCCCTTCCCCAGCTTCTTCCCATCTATGGTAATCACCTTTCTCTAATGTTTATTTACTCTTCTTAGACAACTGAACAAAATCTGATAAGAATCCCAGCAGTTCCCCTGTCTTTGAGCAGCAGATTGCCCAGTGACAGGGCCAGTTTAATCCCCACACTTGCACAGTGGTTTGTGTCTGAGTTGATGATGACTCAAGAACATCTCCCCATCACACTTTAAGCTCATCAGGAAACACACACTGGGAAGTGAAGCCTTCACAGAGCTGAAGTTAACAATTTCTTTCAGCTCCCTCCTTGATTTTAATCCCTAAACCAGCAGAGAACAGGAGAATGCCTAATTAAATGTCAGGTTCCTCTAACTCTGATGCCAATGTGCCAAACCATTTCACACTGTGATCATCCTGCTATTATGGAGCTTGAACAGCCAACTTTGTGCAAAAAATACTTCAGCAGACCCAGCCCACACGAAACCAGCAGCTCCTGTGATTAATTTGGCTTCCACATCAACTCACAGTCAGTCAGAAAGTGCCCAGGAGTGGCTCAGGATGATTCCCAGGGGGCAGTCTGGGCATGCCTTAAAAGCCATCCTGGTTACAGACAAAGCCTTTGGGCACGTGGGTGCCAGCTGGCACAATCCTGAGCCTCGAGGGCACAGCCACATCCCCAGCCTGTTTCACAGTGCCCCAGGAGCACCAGCAGCTCTGTGAGGACTCTTGTTGGTGTGAAAAACCAGGTATTCTGATAAAGGAACAGCAAAACCTCCCCCCAGGTGTTTACACTGCTTGGCAAAGGCAGGGGGTGCAGCACAGTGGGGTTTACCCAAAGCAGCACAGAACCATCGACACACGCTCCCATGACCCTGACATCTCTTTTGACAGCAGAGGAGGAGTGCTGGGATAACCACATACCTCTGGCAGCCCCACAAATCCAAACTCCTGTGGCAGGAGGCATTTGTTGGTGACCGTGACGTTTGCCTGCACAGCTTCGTAGATGGTGCAGTGCCCGAAGTCGATTGCTGCGGGACTGAGTTCCAGATCTGACGTGGAGACGATGGCATGGACAGTAAAACTGGCTGTTCTAGCCTGAAACAAATGCAAGAGCACAAGATGAGACCCTCCACCTGCAGGATTTCAGTGAGATGTCACCCAAAAGGATAACTGCAGAACACTTGTTCTCCTCAGTCCTTGCCAGTGACGTGTGAGGTGAGCACTGACCAGGAAGGATTTGACTTTCTATGTTGCAACCATCAAATCTCTATCAGCACTTTGAGCATCTTTTCCTGTCATCAAACTTCAAGCAGTAAAGAGCCAATGTAAGATTAGGTAAGGTTAAGTGAAGCTTCTCTAGAATGATTTACATGCACTGTCAGTCTGATAAGCAGCACCACAAACAGCACCTTGTCCACGATCACCACTGTCACTGGCACCTCCAGGATTCTTGTCTCTGCATTGAAATAGTTCCCTGCATCTTCAGGAAGAGACTGCCTGAAAACCCAAAAGTACAGTCAGTGTTATTAAAATATCGTGGCTGTTTTCTCACTAAGGGGAATAAGAAACTTCTGATGGATTATTTCTGAACAGAAAGAAAAACAAACCCAAACCTGCTACTTAAGGCCTAAAAGTTTTATTATTCACAATTTTTAATCTTAGCTTAATCTTAATTTAATCCACCTCAAATCCTCCTGTGTAGGGAAGTCTAATTAAAATCTTGCATGGCAGATATGTGCATGGAAAATGGAAGAATGGTAGAAGGAAATTCCAGTCAAAAATAAGTGACCTCTGAAGTCCCTCCCACCTCCTGACCGAGACAACGAGGATGCAGTCAGGCCAGGAATGTTCTGGGTTTGTCCCAGCTTTCCTCCAGACTGGCACCCACTCTGAGCAGGAGTGCAGGGGCTGAAAGGTGGCTGCCAGGGACACCAGATGGATTGACCTTGCACAGTAACATTGGAGTTTTTTTGATTTTAACGACAGGATTTTGGACGTGCAGGATTTTAGGGGAGGTCACTGAGGTCAGCATCCATTTATCCTATTTTAAAAAGCCATCCAGTCATTTAAAATTCTGAAAAATCACAAGCTTACTCTCTAATCAGCACATAAACCCTGTGCATCCTTGCTGCAGGCTCAGCGTGCCCCCAGCCCCAGCAGGCAGGGTTTGCTGGGGGCACTGCTGTCCATGACCAGCCTGTCTGAGGCCAGAGAAATACAGGGAGCTCTTCTGGAGCCCAGCAGGGCTGGTGACAGAGCAGATCAGCAGTTCCTCAGGAACATGCAGGTTTTCTGCAGGTGAAGCCTCTTGCTCTCCCAAGCTCCACTGCAGAGCTCCAAGCCAAGCCAATACAAACCTGGAGCATTTTTAGCCCTGCTGCTCTATTTTTAGTGACTCCCAGCACCAGAGTGAGTTGTTTCCTGTTCTTGGGTCCCCACAGTGCTCATGTTCTAGTACTACTCATGGAATTACATGCAATTCTTTACTGTATTGTTAAAGAACAGGTAATGAATAAAATAACTCCCACTCATCACCATGGTGATCCAAAACCTCGCTGCTGCTATTCTGCAATAGGGGTGATGTTCAAAGGTATTGGCAACTTCTTTCCAGATGGGAACTGGGGTTAAACACGAGGGAGGAAAGCAGCACCAGCTTTCACTTTGCCACAGGACTTGGAAGAGCAGGAGAAATGAATCTATTTCAAAATAACCCAGAGGGGGGAAATAATTGTGACTGAAAGGACAGTGGGGTAGACTCTAAATTAGCTGCTGTGCCCTGGGGAGAAGGTCCTGCAACCCTTCAGGCCTCCCTCTGATGAGGCATGGAACCTGCCCAAACTGAAAAGGCTGGCCCAAACCCAAAGGGGAGTGCTGGGCCACCTGCCTGAGCACATCCCCCTGCACAGCACACCGGGGAGAACCTCCCAGGCCTTCAGCCAGCTGGGAGCTGCTGCCACTGCTGAGGAGGCTTCTCTTGCCTTTGGTGTCACCTTTAATGCAGCTGCTCTGTTAGTGGAGCTCATAATGCCCAATCACTGAGGAGGCCTCACAGAAATGTGTCACCAGCTCAGCCCTTCCCCACTCCTCGTGCTCCCCACACACTCAGCTCCTCCCTGCACGAGGTCTTTAACTGATCTGTCCCCTCAGACAGCCAGATACTTATTTTGTGTGTCAGAAATGCCTTAATCTCATCAAATCTCCTTTCTGAAGCTTCCCCGTTTTTTAAAGGAAGATTAAGGCTCTAAATCCAAGCTCTGGTTCCATCCACTCCGGGAGGGGAACAGTGCTTAGAGCAGATGAAGTTGAGGAACTCAAATATGTCATCATGCTACAGTTGTTGTAATCTGATGGGATTTGAGATGTTGGAAGAACTGTAAATACTTTTAGTTCTTTGAATACTAACCTGGTGGAAATTTTGAAATCAGTGATTAGACTCTCAGTGCAGAACCCAGAAATGCTGAGCACATCAGTGAGAATCCAAAATACATCAATGGGACTGCAAAACCTACATCAAAGCAGCAGCAGGTTTGCAGCAGCAATCACTGCCAAAGCTGCTGAAGTATTTGGCTGTGCACCAGAATTAAATCCATTTTTCATTTAAATTTCTATGTGAAATGTCCCACTAAATTCTTTAGGATGGCAATGATGAGGTAAATAAAATTAACAGTGGTTAACAGAAGCTCTTGTCTTTAAATTTTTAAAAACTGGAATTCCTCGTTTCCTACCACTGAGTTATGTCTGTGTATGTAGATGTACCATGAAATGGAGAGGAGAAACTTGCTGGGATGATGTTACATAAAATGTCACGTGAAATTCCAGATCAATACCTTCAGCTTTTGGAGTGCAATGTGCATGGGGAGGAGAGAGATGGACAGGAAGCCCAACCATTCTTACCTTAATTAGAAGCACAGGAGCTGTTGTCCAGAAATTATTTAATCAGTGATCCATGAAGCAGCCACCTGCCTCAATAAGCTCTCTCCTGGCTGAGAATAACTCCCACAGACAGGGGAGCAGCCCAGCAGGGGAGCACAGCCTGCTCATGGGGAAGGGACAGCACCTCTGCTCCGCTCTTCCACTGGCACCCCTGAAAGCCGCAGGGTTCCCGTTTGGGGTGGTGTTGGTTACCTGGGCAGGAACTTGAGCTGAGCACTGAAGGCTGACTGGGGCTGGATGTAGCCTGTCTTTGGCAGCAGCTCCAGGTGCTTGCTCACCTCTTTGCACACCTCAAACTTGAAACGCAGCGTGGTGGTTGCTCTGCAAACAGATCAGACGTGCCTGGGTGGCTCTGGGGCCACTTCAGCAACACCCCCTGCACCTCCACATGGTGGTTAGAACAATCCCAAGCTGCCTCTGGAAATGAAGGGCATGGAAAACTGCTACAGCAAGTTCACACAGTCGTGTCTCTTTTGAGTACAGCAAACAAGATTTGGGAAGTACTGAAACAAACCCAGCTGTACTGCAAACAGCACACACAGCTGATCCAAACCGAGCCACCAGAGCTCAGCACAGCGGGGACTCAGGTCAGGGGGGAGGCAAAGCCAAGTTACTGGGAAATATCAGCTAATTATTTGCTCCTAGCACACACTGGCTCTCTCTGGATCAATAGGGTGACTGGAACCTTGGGGACTTCTTTAAACAGATGGGAATTCACGGATCTCTTGTGACCTCTCCTTTAACAGCAGAGCTCCTGCAGGGCTGGAAGTCCCAGCATGGCTGAGCTGGCCCTGCCAGCTCCTCTGCTAAACCTGGGGATCAATTTGCCCCAGCAATGGCACACTGGAAGCAGGAAACCTCTCCCTGTTTCCTGAATGGTGGCCCTATCCCAGCACAGCCCCTGTTTGGAATTTGATGCCTAAGTGCAAAATTGCCGAGCAATTTACAAATATTCCAGCCTGTCATTCTCCTTGCCTGGACTGCTTTCCAAGCTGTCAGGCCAGATGGTCTCCTCTAAATCAACAGTTCCAGCATGTGGGACTGGGAGCCTGCAATGATTTCTGACTGTTGACAATCTAAGAGAATTATATACTACTTCATTAAATCAGTGTAGATTATAACCTGCCAAAGAAATTACTTTTCAAAGTGATTTGTATTGAACAGGACTCTGATAAGACACTTTCACCCTTTGTGCTGCTTGATTACTGGGGTCTATATGACCAGAGAAAAAAGCCCCAAAACCCTAGAACAAAATCAGTATTAACAAATAATTTGCAATCCACCAGAGCTTGCTGGGGCACTCCAGTGCCAGAGGTATCTGAGTCACTTGAAAACTTCATCTTCCACTTCTGCCACAGATGACAACGCCACAGACAGGGAGATCCAGGCAGGCTCCAGGAGGAATCTCCTCCAGGTGCCACAGCAAAGTGTCAACAGCCACCAGAGGGAGGAACTCCTCAGGCCACAACAGAATGATGAAATCTGCCCACTTTTGCAGGATAAAGAGTTGGTATGTGACATTCCTGCACCTGAAGTGCATGGAATTCCATCCCAGCTGACTGTACAACAGACAGTGTTACACATGAACTGTATGAGTGTATAACAGGCTTCCCTAATGAGGGAGAACTGGGTGATAAATCAAAGCCTGGACTTGCCCAGGTGCCCAGGACAGGATACTGCATATTAAATGCTCTTCATTTAGTGAAACTTGGCAAAATATCAGCAGGATTTTTCCCTCAGTTAAGAAGTTTTGCCCTAAGCAAATTTGACAGGTTCTATCTTTGGGATCCCCTTGAACTCTTCAGTTTTATTAGGGGAGTTATTCTGCTTCTACACTTCTAAGTTTTATCCCTGGGTTATCTAGACCAAGTAAAATCACTTACATAACAACTTGTGCTTGTCATATCTGTAAGCTGAATTTCTGAGATAACAGCTTTACTCATTTCTTTCCAACTGTGAAGAATCTCTGCAGTCTGTAATTCTGGTAAGAGGTTTAGCATGGATGCCTTCCACAGAACCAATCTCTCCCCCACCCTCCCACAGGCCCACCCCAATCCTATTGAAATAGACTCTAAGAAATGCAAATTGTTAAAATAAGAATCCCACAGTGACTGTGCTGGGCTGGGGGAAGACACCCAGCACCTGGAGACAATTAAATGTTCATGTAACCACTCTAATAGCAGGAAATCTCTGCAAGCCAAGGAGCTGGAACGTTCCCTTTGTGTCACAGTGCAAACTGAACCAGTCCTCAGACACGCTGGGCTCAGAAACACCCAGATATTTTCCCCCTGTCAGTCAGTGTTTGGTCACTCTCTCCAGTGCTCTGCTGAAGGCCTGTGGGGGTCAGGAAAAGCTGAATCCTTCCCATTTTACAGTAAGTGCATGATTTATTCAGCATCCTATCCCAAGTCTGGAAAGACTCTCAGTCTCCCAAGTCTCTCAGGGACTTTCATTAAAGGTAAAATAGCTGAGAAACAACAAATAGTATTCTGTAAAATTTCCTGACTGACCCAATTATACCCAAAGTGCACTTAGTTTTAGACACATTTATCTCCTTATTGTTTAGGGAGCTAATTCCACATGATGGGACTGTGGGGCTGCTGTTCCCTGGGGACATCACAGCCACAGCACCGAACAGAACAGCACAGGCACCTCCCAGGAGTGGGAAGGTGTGCACTGACTCCACAGCTACGGCTGCTCTGGGAATCTGGGCCAGCAGCACAGCCCAGTGCAGGGTCCAGCAGTGTGGAACTCGGGGCTCTAGCCCAGCTGTGCCCCTGGAGTGCCAGAGCAGCCCGGGCAGCTCACCTGCTCCGCAGGGTCACGCAGTCCTGGTACAGCCGGTCGTACAGGCAGATCCTCAGATCCACGCTGGGGGTGGGCACCCAGATGGGCACGTCCACAGCCACCCCCACGGCGCTGAAGCACAGCTGGAGGGGCACAAACCACAGGGGGTTAGTTCTGGGAGTCCCAGATCCTCACTGACCCTCACAGAGCTACAGCTACAGCCCAGCAGAACACGCTATTGTTCATATTGCAACGGGCTCTTCAGGGGGCACAGCCAGAGAAATCATCTCTAAAGGAGACCTGAGACGTGAGGGTGTCCAGCAGATAAAAGGAACTGTACTTTGGTTTGGATTCTGTGACAAAGAACATGAAGGGAGAGCATCTGCCCCTGACACTGAAATGTTTGAAGTGCATTTAGGTGGAGTGAAGGGGATGCAGAACCCCTGGGACTGCAGCTCGATCAGCCAGCAGAGACAGGCACAGGGCTGTGCTCCCTGAGTGCCCACAGAGCCAGCCCTGCACAGCGGGATCCTGCAGGAGAAGGTGCCCACAGAGCCAGCCCTGCACAGCGGGATCCTGCAGGAGAAGGTGCCCACAGAGCCTCAGCAGGAACCTGCAGCTCCTTCTGCAGACTGAGGGGAGAGCCAAGGCTGGCTACTGAGCTGCTGGGGAAGTTGTCTTTATTTTTTGGCAAGCTTCTGTGAACTGTTCCAAGCAGAATTTGGCTTCCAATGAAATCAGAATCAAAATATGCTGAAGTGGTAACTGAAGTTGTCATCTCTTCCAGCTTTCACACATCAGCTTCACTACTGCCTGCTAAATAATTCCAATTCTGATATATCAGAAAGAAAATTATCTACGTGTATTGGGAATAGGGGAGAACACTTCCACATTTTCCAGGACATGAGGTGTTTTCCAACATGATGTCTGATAAAATGGGAATATCAGGATTATTTGCACAGAAATTTAAGAAATGGGGAGGTGTCACGAGCATCCTGCATCAGAAGGAAGGGCAGGACTTACAAAGTTACCTCCCACCAAACCACATACTGCATAAATCTTGGGAAAAGCACAGACCAGAAGATTTCAAACTCTTTTCACACGGTGTTTTGAAGCAAGTCTTTCACAAATCACTCACTGGTTTGCAGTCTGGGTTGTCAAACACGATCACAAACTCTGCCCTCACGTCCCCAGGGACAGCTGGGACAAACAGCACCGGGACTTTCACCGAGCTGAAGGGTCCGACCTCCCCCTCCGTGACCTGAAAACAAGGACATGGCTTTGATGGAAATGGAGAAACTGCAGTGGAACAGAGGCTGTGCCTGCTCACACTGCACACACACTGCCCTACCCCATCTGCAACTAAACTGGACACACTGAGCACAGGGAACATCAGCTGTGGAATATGGCCCAGGTCTGACCTCTCCCAGATGTTCTTCCTGCCCTGTCTGGTGTGTTGTCACCACACTTGGTTTAACCACAGAACCACACAGCAGAAAACCAGAGTGAAACTGTGGGAAATGTAGAAGAACACAGGATCTTTCAGCTCAAAGAAGCCTTTATAGATCCAAAGCAAGGGCAGATGTGTCCTGTGATTTCACTGTAAAAATCAGCTGTGACAGAGTGAGGTCCAGTGGGCTTGAAATGATCATGACCTTCAGCATTTCTCACCAGAGCAATTTATCTGATGCAGGCTCAGACCAGTGAAACCTTGTCTGCATCTCAGGACACTCATTACCTTTCCAAGCATAATTTCAGCTGGTGTTTCTTCAGGAGAAAGTTCCACTGAATCACGTGCGTTGTCTGGGTCCAGATCTGATCTGATACTCAACAATTCTTGATCAAGTTGTTCTGGGGGAAGAAAAAAACACCAAACACAAACCACAACAAAAATGTTGGATGTTTGCATCAATTCACAAAAACAGTTATAATCCAACAGAGCACAAGTACATTCCTTGGGGTCAATGCTGCAAGCACAGGAATGTATAGCAGTGATGGGGAAGTAGGAATGTCTGGAGGTGTCTGCTTGGCCAGCCAGCTTTAGTCCAGTCTGGAACTGCACCTGAGGCACCTGGGCCTTTCATGACAGAACAACTGTTAATGTTTCAGTGAGACAAAGATGGAGATGGTACATCCAGAGATGCAAACTCAGAGGGAAGTGTGAATTGGCTTCAAGAGCAGTTTTAGTGGGACAAAGCAATGCAGGCAGGAGGACCTGGAAAAACCACCCACAACCTTTGCATGGAGCTTTCAGCTTCCTGAAACTGGAATGATCAATATTGGGAAGAAATGCTAAAGAACACAGCTAATAAAGAAATTAAGGAAGTCTTTCTTCTACAAGATTGGATTTTATTAAGCACATAGTAAACATTAGGAATGAGATGGAAAATGTCTGAGGAGGTTCATCTCTCTGCTTCCTTGTTCCTAGAATTACAGACTGTAAAAATAAACCTGTCATGTGGATTGCTATTCTGAGAAGTGGGGATTCAGTTGCTGAGACAAGGATGATGTTAACAATTTTGTAATTTCTGAGGCTGGTTGGGTTCTGTGTTCTGAGACTGAATTCTTGATCACTAATGAGAAGTGAGGATCTCTGCTGCTTTTGATATAATGGTGTCAGGACAGTATTTTTAGTCATTTTCTGTGAGGCAACACACAAAGAAATATAACATTACTACCAGAATGATGAACTAGTTATTTACTGAGGAACTCTGCAAACTGAGTTCATTACAGGGAACTCAGAGGGTCAATGCCTGGCCTGGGGAGCTGCATGGCCAGAGTCCCAGAGCAGTCACTCACCCGTGGCACTGCTGCTGCGGGGTCCCTGTGGCTCCTGGGCTGCACTGGGGGTCACCTCCTCCCTGTGCTCAGAGCTGCTGCTCCCGTCCTGCTCGGGGTCACAGCCACTGGCACGGCCAGGCACCTATTGGGAAACACCGACTTTCTCCTGTGCTTGTTCCTTTGGGTGGTACCAGCTCCAATTCAACGAGCTGCTGTCACTCAGACTCGTTCTTTCTTGTTCCATCTTACAGATGGAGAAACGTGCTGCACTTTCCAAGGACTGCACATTCTTTTAGACCTTTATCAATGAACAGATTTAACTTTTGCTGCCTGCCCCAAACAGGTAAATAACAAACAGGAGCAATACAATACAGTGTCAGTTATTTCACAATTGACAGAACTAACATTTTTGCAGTGGAAACACAGGCAGTTCTATGTCAAAACTAAGTCTGCTGAAACGAGACTTCTCCTTATCACACCCCTTACTTTATTGATGGTTTTGCACCAGTCAGCATTTTTCTGAAGTCCAGGAGTTGGGATTTTTAATGACTCTGTCACAACCTCCTCTTTTAACTGAAATATTTTTTCCTAGTTGTCGTGAATTTGGAGAAAATAGGAATCCGTGACAAAAAATACTAAAATGTTAAAAAAAATTAGCATTGTTGGTTTCCCCTCTCCTCACAAAATAACAGTTTTTAATTTTATCTCCTGATATATGGTTCAGATTATATTGGTACCAAGCCAAACGTACTAAAGTTGGGCCAGATGATTTTCTGAGTCCCTTCCAACCTGAGCTGCTCTGGGACTCTGCTCAGCTCCACCACACCCCACAGAGCAGTTTCTGCTCGCTTAGAGATGTCTTTGAACCCACCATCCTCCCAGGGGCAGGTTTCACTGCTGCTCTGGGTGTGCTCCTGTCACCTGCTGACGTCTGAACTTTGAATCTGGTTCCCAGAGCTCCGCTGTTTGTCAGGCTGATGGTCCGTGAAATTGTCTCTCCCACCACGTGGCTGCCAAAGTCAATGAGCTCTTTATCCAGAGCCAGCTGTGAGGAGATAAACCATTAATTACTCCTGTCCTACATAGCCAGGAATGTCAATTAAATGAGCATCCGCCTTTTCTGATAATATTATATTATCCACGTGCTTCCAAGAGGCACTTACGACGCAGCTCTTGACGGTGCATTTCAGTGGGACAGAAAAAGAACCTGTCTGTGCCACAAACAGGACCTCTCCTTCCAGGCTTTCATTTACCTAGAAAACAACAAAAAAACCACCCCTAAGTAACTTCCAAAGGTTTAGCCTACGTAGTGGGATGGAAGGTATTTTCATTCATGCTTTGAGTACCATAGTAAAAGGTATTTGTACTGATTCCACATTTCCAGTGTAAAACAGTCTTTGGTAACAGCCTGGCTAAGTTGATTATAAATATTTAGAAACTTGTTCTCTTTTGGAGGCATTTTCCCCAAGTCTACCCTTAGAATATGCCATATTTCAATTTATCAATGCACACTGTTGTCCATGTTCAACAGCAGCTTTTCTGGGCTGCAGCTTGTTTGCTTGTTAACAGTTAGGAACTCCAATTAATGGTGTTTTTAATCAGACTAGTGGATAACAGTAGGATTCTCCTCACTGTGCACTTACCATTGGCTTAAAGGTTACCACGAATTCACAGGACATTCCAGAAGACATTTTGCCAGGTGGGTCAAAACTATGGAGATAATGAACATAAAACTCCAAATCAAAGCTGTGTATCAAACTCCAGCTCCTGCCCTGGTAACAATGGCAGGTATTTTTTATTTCCCACACACACACACTTGGACTAATTATCACAGAAGTCAGACTGAGTGACAGGTTAATGAGGGGCTACAGAACCCTGTGAGACTTCCTTTTGTTTATTTATAAACAGTGAGATAAAATTATCAATGTAGTTAAACGGAGATTAATTTGCAATCTCCCAAGTAGAGGCAGTGCTTCATTACATAACCTGTCAGCAGGATTACAGGAATAGATTGATGGGAAAGACCACAAGATTGCAATTGCAGTGCTCTGTGCTCCCAGATTGATATCCTTGATTTTGTCAGCTTTTTCCTTTTCTGACCAATTAAACTGTGTTTAACTCAACCCACGAGTTGTACTTTTCCCCCCCAGTTCTCTCCCCTGTCCCACGGAGAGGGGAGTGAGGAGCTGGGTGGAGTTTATCAGTTCACCCCTCACAGGCAGGAATTTCAGTTGCTGCAGAATTGGGTTCCTGTTGGGGCACAAAGGGAAAACCAGCAAGGAGTTTACAGTTAATTTACTTACTGAACACTGATGAAGTCCTTGAGGCATTCACTGATCCCCACCAGCCTGCAGTAATTAACACTGTAGGAGGCATTGGTCAAGATTATCTTCTTTTTGTAGGTTTGACCAACATCAAAATCCTTGGAATGAAAACACAGCAGGTGAATGTCAAAGACATCACCTCACATTCATGGTCTAACAGAGGCATTAACAGTTTTGTTAACTGAAATCTCAATTGCATGGGAGCCACCACTTCTTTAAAGACCTTATCTTACAGGAATTACATATTTACAAACAATACACAAGTCCTGCTGCCCTTTAAAAAGCACAGAACACAGCCTAACAGGGGGTTTCATCATTTCCTCACCCTTCTGACAGGATTTAAACCCCCCTGAGGACATATTTTATAATTTAGGCCCAAGTAGTAAAACTAAGTAGTTTATTTAATGTGACTATAACTCTTCTATGAATTGTTAGTGCAAGAGGCAGCTGCTGTTCCAAATTTCACATAAAGCCATATTAAAAAGTGCAGCAGAAGTTTGATCAAGACACTGGGATACACCTCCAGTGGATCCATGTTTATAATCCCCAGGGAATGGGCACTGACCTTGAAATGAATGCAGCTGGGCTTGCTGTGGAAAGCACAGCCCTTGTGTTCACCACCAGGCACCATTTGCTTGGCGAAACTCCCCGGCTGGAATTCCTCCATTTTTTTCTCAGCCATCTCTTTTTTCACTGCCCTGATAGCCAGCTGTGTTGGATCCACCTCTTCTTTGGGTGTCTGAGAGGGAACAAGCAGAAAAACACCAGGGCTGTGTGGGCTCACAGAATCCACAGCTCAGAGCAGGAAAGTCTGCAAAAGGAAGCTTTCAGTACCCAGCCAGCCTTTGCCAGGCTCTCTCCAGGTCAAACTCAGCTCCCAACTCCTCCAGGAACAAATGAATTTATTCTCTACTCTGTGCTGTAGCTTCTCATCACCCAACACTATGGCATGGCAGCATTAGCTTTTCTCCACCTTGGAAGTTTTTTCCCCTCAACTTCTTAAACAAACACTCAGAAAAAAAATCAGCTGACTTCTCTGGGATGTCTCAGTTCTGGATCAGTGCCTCAGGAATATACACTGACAGGATGTACTGCTGACTGATTGTGAAGTTGTTTTAAACTCAAACAATTAAACATCATGTGATGTGTGTCTTCACAGATCTCTGAACTAAGTATTGTTTTCTCTTTAAAAGAACAAAGTCCTTCAGAATATTGTCAAACAGCAATGACTGATGATATTCTCACACCTGAACCTCTGCATCTGTGTAATAATGGAAAGGCTGCATTTTAACTGCAAAATAGATAATCAGTGGTTTTAAACAAGGTTCTTTCCTATTTGTAACGAGAGATATCCCAACATTTACCTTGTGCAAGTCGTATTCCTTGCCCCAAAGTCCTGGGAACTCTGGTTCTAAGAGGGTCTTTTCCTTCTCTTCCTCATCATCCCCACTCTCCCAGAGCACTTCCTGGGGTCTGTCCTCAGGACTCCCTCCCCCAGGAGCAGTTTCCTCAGCAGCCAAGGCAGGAGGTGATGGAGAGAGCCAGGACTTCTGTGAAAGAGCAGAAGTTTGGAGGATACAGTTAAAAATGACTCAGAACAGTTACTCCAACAGTTACCAGTCCCTGAGGAGATCTAACACAAAAATGAGGGCTCTGTAAAGCTCAGAGGCCAAAGATCTGAAAGTCTGCAGGCAGGTGATTCTTGGGCCTGTGCTTACCTGTGCTGTGGCTCCATCTGCACGTGTGGAGGTGTCCTCACTGCATGGCCAGGCTTCCTTTCTGGGCACTGAAGGGTCCTCAGCTTCACCCCGAGCCTTCCTTGCCCTAACATGGGACTGACTTTCCCTCTGCTTGTCAACAGAAGCCTTTTCTTTCAGAATCCGAGACACAATCTCAATTTTTCTTGATTTCTGCCGTTCTCTGAAAGCTCTGTAATCCAGTGTTGTAAGAAACATTAACCCAACAGTGGTTGTTTATTGATAATATTATCTACAGCCCAGCTACTTTTGAGCCTTTGAGCTAAACAGCCAAGCTGGGGGCAGTGGTAATTTGTGTCATGACATCAGGTGATTCAGAAGATATTTACACATTTTTGCACACTAAAGATACTCAACTGCAGTGTTTTAGAAGGCTAATACAGACTTTCACAGTGTTCAGGAAAGGCAGAAGGACAATTACTTCAGGTATCCATGGAGGGTCACTGATTTCCCTGCTGGAGCAGCTGATCTGGGCACTGCTCACACTGAGAGGACACAGCCCTAAACCAGCAGGACACACTGGACAGCTGTGCCAGACTGAGGGAGTGCACTCAGACATGGGCTGTGTCAGGACCTGCCTGAGCTCCACCACGTTCCTGCACGAGCCCCAGGGAGCAGCTGACACTTGGGTACGGACACACCACTTACTGTTCCTCTTTGTCGAGCTTTAGCTGTCGTTTATGGAGGAAAATTTCCTTGACAACATTGCCTCCTTCTGCTAGGATGGCTTCCCTCATTTTCATCTCCTCCTTCTTTGCCTCCAAGGCCTTTGCTTTGTTCAGAACTTGGAGAGTTTGGAGCTTTTCCTATGAAGTCATACAAACCAGTTACATGTTTGGTCACATAATAAAGAATATAAAAGAGGGAATCTAGTGTTGGTCCCCTTATCCAAGCACAAATTAGTGGTGGGTGTCTCTGAAGTAGAAGATAATTGGTTTTTATATATATGGGCTGCTGAGGGGCAGAAAGCTCTGACTAGGACTAGTCTCCTTCTCTACCCTTCCAGCTGCTCAATGAAGGAAAGTGAAAATATACAATTCTAAACAAATCAGTATTAAATTAAGATCATTCCCTCAGATTCTCTAGGACATAAATAGAAGAGCAAACCAGCATAGCTCAGAAATTCCTAATTTACATTATTTAAATTCTTAAATAACTGCTTTTCTTCCATATGTTTTCTCCATGTGGGGGTATTTCTGCCTTGGGATCCAAATAACTGGAAATCCTTCTGGCTGAATTTGCAGAGGACTTATTTGTAGAACGCATTATTTTCCAGAGAGTTCCCTTCCCAGAACAACTAGACTGTTGACAGGATAAGCTGCATCAGCAGAAGTGCCAAAAGCTGCCACTGCAGTAGTTCCACTGTCCCCAGTTTCAGGAGGTTGGGGCAGTGATCTGATCAAAGCCCACCACACACAGAGTTCTGGGAGGGAACTGCCATTCCCTGCACTGACCCCCAGCCGTGTCCCAGGGCAGTGACTTCACTGCCAGCCCAGCCCAGCAGCAGTACCCTGTTGGAAGTGATGCTGGTTTTCAGGGAAAGCACAGCTTGTATCCTTCTCTCCATATGCTCCTGAGTTTTCTCTTCTTCCTTTGCAATTTTGTCATGAATTCTGTAAGCAAAGCAAGATCCTTCAGGCTGACATCCTGGAAATGAGACTGTTTAAGCTGACAGGCAGAGATTGCCAGTGCCACCAGCCACTTGTCTGTAAAGCCCCTGTTTGCTGGGACAGTGGCTGTGGGTGCAGGGGGATAGTCCTGCTAAAACAAAGCAAGAATTCAGGTGCTCATCTAACCAATATCTAAACAATTATGTAGTGACGAGCCCAGCACAAGTACCCAACCTAGAAACAGTGAAAGTTAGAAATATGTGGGCAGGAGTCAAACCTGGGAGTACTGCAGCTAATATAATGGTAAACTAGAAAAAATTAATAAGATTGATATATTTGATACATTTGTCAGGAAAAGAAACCTATTTGTTTGTTCTTCTTAATTATGATCAATTTGCACATGTCATCTAATGAAAAACAAACCAGCACAGAAACAGCACAATTGTTTCCATCATTTCACAATGAAGTCCTAATATTTGTATATTAGGATATATTTGTATATTAGGATATATCTGTATATAAGTAAAAATAAGTAACAAATGTTTCTTTAGTAGCAAAAGAATTCAATGCCACAGTAATTACATAAACACAAACCTATTAGGAGAACATTTAATTTACCATCAACCAGGGCAGGAACACGAAGTCAATCCATTTACCTGAGAGCAAGATGCTTTTTTACCACATTTCTGAGGGGATATAGAACAGGAGAGGGCAAGTTTCAAACCTGGATTCCAGTTACACTGCTTCAAACCACTTCAGCTAATGACACACATACATACACATAAAATATTGCTCTAAATGATTATTAATCCCTACAAGCTCCCTGTATCTCATCAAAAAGACAGACCCTTCCCTCCAGGGAACCTGAAGGCCATACTGGGACAGTGAGTGGGATTTCTGCTTTCCAGGTCCTTTTGTGCCACGTGAGCTCTGACTGTGTCACCACCCTGCACCGTGGCACAAGATTTCCAGCTGTAACACGAGACACACCTTGCAGAACAACCCTTATTTTTCAAAGCCTAAAGTACTGCGGAGCAGAGAAAGGAGTGAAGCCCAACCTTGCTGTGCTTTGCTTCAGGAAGCAGGCTGCTTTCTCATGGTTCCTTTTGGCATCCTCAAGTATTTTTTTCCTTCTTTCTTCATGTTCTTTCTGGGCTTTCTCCTCTTTTCTGCAAAGCACAGGCAAAAGTTGCAGCAGGACTAAGCCTTGAATTCCAACACAATGACACCTAAGGGTGTTTGGGGAGTTTACTGAGGAAATGAGGACATGAGTCTGCAGCCCCTTTCTCTCCAGGAAATCTCGAAGGGCTTGACCATAAGTTCAGAAGGTCCTGGAGGCCAACAGCACTGCAGACACATGCACTCAGTCTGACCCAATCAGCTTCATCTCCTTCCACACAAGACACTCACAGCTTTTGTCATTAGCAAGTTTATTCTCAGAGATCAGAAATCTTTTCCTGCAGCACTGCAAGGCCATGGCCAGCTCTTATTTTAATCCCAGTTCCTCGTTGCTGAACCAACACCCAGCTAAGAAACCCAACAACTCCCAGTGTTTGAATCATCCCCTGTCAGCCCCTGCAGTGGGAAGTGGCTGAGGATCCCCCGGGGAGGCAGCACAGGCTGACCCAGCCCTCACCTGTCCCGGGCCCGGCGCTGCCGTTCCACCTGCAGGGCAGTTCTTTTCTCCTTGCCAATCCGCCCTTCCCTCTGCTGCTGGTAGTGCCTCTGCAGCTGCTCCTGCTCTTCCCGAAGTTTATCACGGAGCACTTCATATTTGCCCTGCTCGATTTGTATCTCCCACATCTCCAGCCTTCAAAACAAAACGGGAGGTGTTGCAATATTGACACTCTTTCACTTACTGAAGGTGATGTGTTGAGTAGGGAAGGCTCTGTGGGGAAAATGAACATCTAGCTGTGTTTTGTTCCTTTTTTTTTTTTAAATACATTGTAAATCAAACCCTGTTACTGAAAAGCTGTCTCAGACTAAGGCTCATACCTAATAGCACATCCCATTTTGAAAACATCGAAATTACTGGTTTAAAAAAAAAAAAAAGGTAAAAAATTAAACCCCAAGGCTCAATTTCTCACATTTACCCAGAAGAAAATACTAAACCCAAGAAAAATTAGAAAACCAGCCTTTTCTCCAACAGTAAGTAACTTCAGAGACAGGCCATAGCTGTTATTCTTCAGTGCTCTGCTGAAGGAATTCAGATATGGTAGGGATGACTACAAGAATCTGTTGTGTGTACTGCTAATCACACAATAAACAAGCCAAGCATTTTACAGCTATTACACAACACTGCAGCAAACACACTGTATCCTGGAGCCACTTGGCTAATCCCAGCTACGAGCTCGTGCCTGTGCTCCTCCTCTGATGGAGTGGCATCAGCAGTTGTACCTCTGGCACCAAAATGCAAACACACTCACCTGTTGCCTTCTGCAAAGGGCAGTTTCACACTGCCTTCTACAAGTAAATAATTTATAATGTGTGAACAATCGATTGCAGGCTTAGCATAAAAATACACAACAGTGCTACAATGTCTTCCCCACCCTCAGTTCCATCCCTTCCTTTGTGCCCTATAAAAACACAAAGAGCCATAAATTAGAAGTCTTTATGCTCATGCAGGGATCAGTATCACAGACAGGTTTACCTGAGCCCAGTTTATTTTCCATTTAAAATGAGACCTGTTTAGGTCCACAACTGATGCACAACTCCAAATAAAATTAAGTGTGCAAAACTAACTCAGGGCTGAGCCACAGCAAGAAATTTCCCAAGGAATGAACTTGCAGGCTCAAAGTTGCTCTCCAGATGCTTTGCCTTGCAGTCAATGAGGTCCAATGACGTAGTTCAGTATGTACAAGCAACTTCTGTATTGATTCACTTTTGAATCCATTCAGCAGCACATGAAGAAGGTAACAGAGATTGACTCCCTTCACACCCTTTTCCCATTCCCTCACTCACGTGCTTTGGTTTAGTTTCAGATCAATTATCAGCTCCAGCTCCTTCTCCCTCTGCAGCTGAGAGCACAGGCGGGCCCTCACGGCCCGCAGGCGGGACAGGGCTGCGCTGGAGACATCAAAAAGGAACAATCAGAAAGAAACCTCAACTAACACAGGTTAAAAAAAACACAGCTTGGAGGCTGAGGATTTATGTATTGGAATCCCACTGATTTATACAGTGTCTTATTTAACCTTTCCAGTGTCCATTCTTCACCCAGAGGCAGAGCTTTCTTTATGCTCTCGCACATTGGTTGAAATGAAAAGATGAGAATTTTTTCTTAGCTTAATGCAACTCTTAATTTCTCACACTGATAAAAGTAGCCCTACTAATGAAGAAGAGTTCAGGTGAACCTTGAGAACCTAGGCTGATTTTGCTTTTAAAATGGCACTCCAGTATTCCATGTCTATAATGGCAGCACTCCCACACAGTTATTTTTCTTCTGTACCCAGGAAAACTAACAGACTGTACTACAGGATCCACAGACAGTGACCTGACTATACTGAACACAAACTCCCATCCTCTAAATGAAAATTGGACCTTCTACCTGCAGCTCTCTGACTCCAGCATTTCTGCACTGCCACGGGCAGCGCTCATGGCAGACAGGAGTTCCACTATTGCTGAAACACGCTGCCTCTGAGCTTCCTAAGCCAGAAATCTATCCAGTCTTCTTTCTCCACCAGTCACTTGCTAAATGCAAGAGATTGGGAGAACTGCTTTTTTTAAACATATCTAGACCTCCCAGTGTGACCCCTCCCAAGGATAAACACTCCACACCGCTCCTCTGTCTTTGCTGAGTTCTGTTCCCGTCTCTGAGATGCCACTTGCACCACCCCAGGAGGCTCATTTGCATTCAGCTCCTCAGTTTGGTTCAAGCAGCTCTCCCATTCTGGCAGCTCACCTGCCCTTCTCTCTCTGCCTCAGGAAGCTCTAACCTGGAGATCAGCACAGGTTATAAATGCAGCTGCGAAGTTTGGTCACAATACTCTGGTTCCCGGTACACAAGCCACCCACTGCTTTCTATTTAAACCAAATGTGAAGAGTACAGTAAATTGCCTCCCACTTGAGGGAGCAGCACAAGTGTTTCAGAGCAGCTCCTGTATGCAGAGCTACTCCTGAAAGGCATTCCTGCCTTCCACAACACAACAGGAAAAAGAAATGGTGTATATAAATCTGTATATATATATACATCTCTAAATCCTGACTGAATTGTCACCAGGAGAAGAGAAAAAGTCATGACTAAAGGACTGCCACAGCACCTTGATTCATCAGACTGAATAGAAGATTGAGACTCTGACATACACAACTGACAGCAGTGGGCTAGGCTGATTTAATACCTGTTGTTGTATTTTAAAATGTGCCTCTTCCCTACCCATTCCCAAGTTTCCTCTTTCTGCACTGGTCTCATTAACTGCACACAGATGAACACAGTGATGCCTGTAATCCCTGGTATCCAGAAATACTCTCTACCTACACATTGCCAGCCTCCTCCTCTCTCTCTATTTCCATGTCTACCCGATCCAGCTGCTTTGCCAGCATCTTGATCAGCAGCCGACAGGCATCCAGCTTTTGTCTGCAAGAAACAAACAGAGCACTTATATTTTCTAAGTTCTTTACTCTCTCCAGTGAAACTCTTCCTCCTGAGGGCAAGATTCACAGCTAGGATTCCTACAGGCTATGGTTTATTTATAAAGTGTAACACTTATCACTGATACAGTATCCCAGCACTTGTGGGTGATTTATGCTGATGGATTATGTTCAGTTAAACACTAACCTGGTTTTCTGGACCACCAGTTCCTTTTCCCTGGCCATGTCATCAAGCAGTTTTATGTTCCTCTGGATGGCTGCTACGTGAATTCTCTTCTCAGACCGCAGAGCCTGAGTGTTGTTAAGGTCATCCAAACGCTGCTCCAAGCTTTCCCTTGGAATCCAAACACACGATTAACGATGAAACACAATGAAAAACTGAAAAGTTACCTGAGCTTTGTTCCACCCTTGTTTTCTGTTTTATTCTAGCAGAACTGTGACAAATACAACCAGGATAAATAAGGAAACACATGAACCCAAACTGCACAAGCAGTTTGCATGCATGCACTTAAGGCAGGATTTCTAGACTTGGATATCTAATGCTGAACATTTATGCCCTCATTTAATACATTAATTATCTGCCTTTGTGTCTCCTCTTGATCCCACCTAGGGTTGGCAATCCTAGTGTTCCTGAACAAGAGTTTAGAACTTTAGTGGGAACATTCTAAAATAGCTTAAAACTTATTTTATACAGCTGGTCAGTCAACACAACAAAGGAAATTCCTGATAGAACTGGAACGAGGTATTTACGTGCTGGAATCAGACTGGTCTCCAACATCTCCAGAAGTGTCCTTGGTTCCCATCTTGCCACTACCAACCAACTTTTCTTCCAGCTCGTATTCTAACAGATATTGAAACAACAGATTAATAAAGAGACTCTGAACTCTAAAATGCAAAGTTTTATACACTTGCTGTCAAGTCACACTGCGGAGAATCAGAGATGACATTTTATAACATTGCATGTTTACTTTACATGAACTTCACACTAATATCAGGATTTTTGTGAGTTATCAAAACAAGTCATTATTTTCACCTTCCCAGCATCCATCCACATCACAGAACTGAGCAGCTGCACCTTCTTCTTCTTCCTCTCCCAGAAATGGTCGAGGAGATGTTTGCTGCTCTCCCTCACTGTGAGCAATCCCATGATCTTCCATGCTGACAGGTCATTCCAAACAACCAGGCTAAGAAAGAGAAGAACATGTTTTACACATCTAATCTCCACCAACCTGCACTGGTGGTGGTTGTCTCCAGAGGTGAATTCACAGCTCTCAGTAAATACCTAATGCATCTGAAATAACTGGGTACAACCACACACCTTTGTGCCAGTCCCACCTTTTGAGTATCGACTTTAATGAATCTCCTAGAGAAAAGCAAGGACGCTGCCATTTCTTTTTCTTTATAACAATCAGCTCAGTAATAAAAAAACCCTTCTGAATGTATTTTATCCACTAAGGCCACCACTTTACCCAGAATGATCCAGGCACAGCTCCAACAAACACTACTTGCTCTTGAGTCTTGTGCAGTTCTCTAATGTGAAGTAAACTGTTCCCAAATGTTGATACAATTTATTAGAATTCAGTAAATTCTGTATGTCATCTAGAATGAGTTATTACCACATGGCTGAGCACTTCACATCTTACTCACACAGAGACTTGTGCATATGATTAATTTTAACGAAGGTGGCTCAGCTTTCAGTGCATTTATGTAAATCCTTCTGCAGAACTCAGAAAACATAAACTATAGGAGAGTATCTATTTTCTCTAGCTAAGGAGCAGAGAAAAGGAGTAAACTTATTAAATTATAGGAAGCACCTTCAAGCCGAGCAGGATTCCTAGACTGGGTTACAGCCGATTTCAGATGTTGGTGGCACCAAGAGGTGGCACAAACATAAAAATGCAGCAGGGGCCCCAGCACTTCGGCCACACCACCGCGATGTGAGGAGGCAGCTCCGGCTGCAGGATAACAAAGTTTCGGGAGAGCTGGGCCGAAGTGCCCCGTGGGGAGAAAGGCCTGAGACCCCTCACAGCCCCCACAGAGCCCTCGCAGCCCCCACAGAGCCCTCGCAGCCCCCACAGAGCCCTCGCAGCCCCCACAGAGCCCTCACAGCCCCCTCAGAGCCCCCTCACAGCCCCCACAGACCCCTCACAGACCACTCAGAGCCCTCACAGACCCCTCACAGCCCCCTCAGAGCCCCGGCCCGGCCACGCTGCCCCGGCCGCTGCCCCGGCAACGGCGCCAACCACCGCGCGGGGGATGGGGGGGGGCCGCGCCCGGAGTGGCTCCACCGGACACCCCCGCCCGTGGGGTGGAACGGCCCGCGCCGGTGGCCGTGGGGCTGTGTCCGTGGGTCCCTGTCCGTGGGTCGGTCCAGCCCGGGGAATTGCTGGGATCTGGGGCAGCTGGGCCTTTCTTTCCCTCCGGGATTGATTGCTTGTTATGACTGACCCTCAGCAGCGTGGGTTACACCTGAACCTCTGACACGGCGCCCGCCCGGGCCCGGTGGTGAGGGGGTTACGCGGCTCTGGGGGCTCCTGACAGTTCAGCTCTGTGGGCTTTTGGCACTTCTCCAAAGGAATGATTTACTCTTTAATTTACACTTTACAGTGGCATTAAGGATTCCACCTCGGTAACGGCAGCAATTACCCTGTGGGAGCCCCCGTGACACCCGCTCTGCCAGTCTGGGGCACCTGGTGCGGGTGATCTCAGGTAACCCAGAGCAGAGGCATCCCCACTGAACTTTCAGCTCTACACACGTTTATCAATTTTAAGCGAGTTGCTGGCATTATGATTAAAAGAAATCTTTCTCATGAATCCAGCTGACTTTTGCAATGCAAAGTCCCATGGATTAGGGGCTGGAGCACACGCATTGTAGAGTACTGAAGGTTTCCGAGTTAATTTACTGGCTTTCCTTTCTGTTCTATTCCTTGACAAAGTCAAGGACCAGTTCAGTGGATCCACAGCAGAGCACATCCCTGCTCCCTCACTCCTGGCACTCCATGACACGCTGGAGAAATCCAGCTCTTCAGAGATTCACAGGGATTCAGTTGTGAAAACACTGGGGCATCATCCACACCAAATACACCCTGATCTGTACATAGAGACAGATGCATTCTCAGATTTATTTAGTTGAAACGGTTCCTTAATTGTAAGCAATATTTCTGTCATTGTTAGAGTTGCTGTCAGAGTAAGGTCTGGTTTTTGATCCCATGCATACAAGAACATGCTGCTAATCCCAGCATTTATTTCCACTGGCACCCACAGTATAGAGTATAAATTACTCACAGTGACCAGTTTTTTGTCCCACACTTATGCTGTAGGTCCTCATTCTTGAGAAATATGTGGACATTCTTAGCTCTATAAATGGTGGAATCTTGATTTTATGGCATCTATTCACATTACATAAAACAAATTACATACAGACATTTGCAGGATTAAAGCTACAAGATGTAGGCTAAAAATATGCAGTGATTAACTGTATAGCTCTCTCTGCAGATCTGGAATAGATATGACTGTGTTAACTCTGAACCTGCCAGTTCCCACACTCCCAGAGCTGGGATGCAAAAGATCCAAGCACGGATTTTCCCCTCAAGAGAACACTTGGAGGAACACCTGGAAATATCACTGACTGTCGGCTTCTTGGGATATTTTTATGCAGGGCATTTATTTAGTCCCAGTTTACAACTATTTGGACAATTTTCATCACAACAACAAAAAATGGTCATGATTTTGTGTCAGTTGAATAATTTGTCTGTAGGGAAGGGCAATAGAGATTTTTATCTCCCACATAGATGGGAGAGAACATCTTCAGTTCCTCTGAAGGAAACTATGGCTTCCCAGCCAAGTGTATCAACTTCAAGTCAGTGAACCTAAAGCTTTAAGCTCCAGGAAATGTGCAAAAAGGCTCTGGTTGATGCAACTCTTGTAGATTTTTAAGGCTCTGACCCCCAGTGATCCATCTCGGAGAAAATGGGTAGCAAAGTGAGGAGGAATAAATTAAAACCCTGCTGTTTTCTGCCTGGGAGGTTAAATTTAGAGGCATTTCTGTGAAGTTCCTTTGGTACCACTTCAGGATCAAGTGGGAATGGGTAGGACTGGGCAGTTCAGTTTGCTGTGTGGCTGCATACTCTGCTCCCCCAGAGCTGGCATTCCTCTCCCGAACGTTTCCAAGGTGACAGCAGCTCATACATGGAGCTCTCTGGCTTTTAGGCAGGAAGACATGCCAGTGATGGAATCTGCATTTTGGCACTGTGGCTCCTACCAATTACATAAGACTCCTCTGCCCCTATGGATCAGTGTTGGACTGCAAACAGTGGCAAACACTGATTTGTTGGGCTGTAAATAATGGCAAACATCGAGAAGCATCTTCCCAATGACTCATCCCCACAGATGGATGGACAATGAGAGGGGCATTTGCTCTCAGAGCATCTCATGAGGAGTGGCCTGGGATGGCACCAGCTGGGGGTGCACCCCTGAGATCCCCCCATCTGGGGAAAGCCAATCCTCCCAGCCCTGGAACGAGCCCTGCCTAGTGGGGAATTCCATCCCCAACTGGTTGCACAAAGAAAAGGAAAGGAGGGCAGAGTGTCTGGCTGCACTGTGCCTCATGATTATCAAATGGCACAGGCTGAGGGAGGAGATGGATGTTCTGCACAACATTTGGAAACAGATAAAAACTGCATTCCTTTAGGTGAAAGGGAAATGAATACTGTGGTTCTCCTGCTGCTGATTAAACAGAGACACACTTGTACTGGGGCTGGGGGACATTCCACAGTGCAAGTACAGCACAACCTCTGAAATGAGCTACAGATTCCCACCCTGTGATTGCTACTGATAGTCCCAAATCTCATTTATAAAAATAGGCATATGTGTGTAATTTGTGTATCTGGAGACATTTGGTGATGTTGCCACAACAGTCTTTCACGAGCTGCTTAGGTGGAATCACGGGAGAGGGAAACTAATTAGCCCTGTGGTACATTTTTTGCCTCAAAATTATATGTGACAATATGATATCTTTATTTTGCTGGCAGCAAAACCACCTGTTCTGTTTAGAAAATGATCTGTTAAGAATCCTGGGTGATGCAGTGCCACTGCAAAATAAATTGAGATAATGTCTTTCTGATATGGTCCCAAAGTCCTGAGGTAATAAATGACTGTGAGAACTTGTTATTTGGGCCACATGACTGAGCGTGTTTCTCCTCAATCCCAACAAATTGTGCCCTCCAATAAATTGTTTTATGGCAGCTGTCGCGGTCGAGGCGGGGAGGCGACATGGGTTTCAGGATACCAGCAGCTTTTTTATTGCAACAGTACAGCTACCTTTATACAGTTCTGGGGTGACACATGTATACACAGCATTGGTTTACCATATCATAACAACTCATGATTGGACATACATCCACATGTCCAAACACCATAGGTTGACATTCCTCACAGGAAACCCACTGTGTCACAGTCCCCACTGTCCGTGGTTAACCCTCTGCCAGGTGTAAGAAGTTCCATCTTCAGTATCTCAGTTTACTGAGAGCCCAGAACCAGCTGGGCTCCCCAACAGGCAGCAGTTACAAAGTGCAGATGACTGTGATCAGGGGAAAACCTGTGATGTGTTCCAGAAGAAAAACACTTGACAGATATTGAAATCTGGGGTTCTGGTCTCAATTAGAGTAAAATGTGCTTCAAAGTTGTGACCTCTGCTTACTACTTGAGTAGGGAAAATACTTCAAAAATTAGTAATTGTTAATCTAGTGGTAATAACAACTAAGGATAATAATGTTTAAATGGCATTTACCTGTAAAGTTGTCCAGATGTGGGTGCAGAACATCAACTTTTGCCAGCCTGAGCCCAACATTCAAGGTCAGATCACGGGAAGGGCATTTCCATAAAAGCTGGTGCCTGCAGACACAGAGATTGGGAGAGGCAGGAGTTTAGCACAGTGACAAAAAGGCTTAGGGAACATTTAGTATCATGGGCCATCTTTTTAAGACTATTTGACAGTTCCGAGCCAGTAGCTAAAGCTAAAGGAAAGCTTTAATTATTTTCAAGAGGATTAGATGAGAAAGATTTGGGGAGCTTATTTATTTTGTTTTGTTTTGATGTTTTAATAGCAATTTTAATTGTTTCTTAATCTATATCTTAGCAAATTTAATCTGTCATTCACCGTAAAGAGCTTGGGATACTCTGCTGAAATTGTAGGAAATTAAATATATTGTCCATCATTATTATTGTTTTATCCCCTCTCTTCCCTTTGGCAATGGGAGTTGTTTATTTTGAGTGGGTGTGCATATATATATGTATCTATATATATATATGTACCAGCCTATTTTGTTTAAATATGTATTTGTGTACAAAAGTAATTAAACCCGAGGCTGAATGTCCTTCTTCTGTGTCATATGGGGATATAATTAAGGTCAGTGTAGATCACAGGTAATCCATTTATCTGAGAGAAGTTCCACCCGTATTTTAGGATTGCCAAGGTATTTTCACTCGTGCCAGTGGTCACACTTGTGGCAAGGTCTGTCCCTTCAGAGCACCTACTGATGCCATGATGTGCCCACACCCACACGTGTGCCCCACACAGATCCACACACACTCTGTACAGGGGGAGGTTCTTGCTGGTTTTACAGATGTCTGCTGAAGACAGAAAAAACTGTTCTTTTTTACTGGTAAATGGGATGACAGCTGTCTGGCCAGAGGAAAGCAGCACCAAGGAACTCTCAGTGTAGGTGTGCAGCCCATTGGAACACCAGCCTTAAAGATGGGGAAAACGTGAATAAACCTCAACTGAAAGGATCCCAAAAGTTTATACATGTGTTCTGTTATGCAGAGAGGCAACACGATTCTGTTCTGTGTGTCACCAGGTAAATTCCATTAAAAACCTTTTCGTTTCCCTCCTCAAATAAAAAAAAAGCAGTTTTCATGCAGCAAATCCAACTCCTTGAGTTTAAATTTGTGTCTTTCCCTCCCTAGCTGCAGGGGTGGCTACGGAAATGGGCAGAGGGAGGAAAAGATCAGGACAAAAATAGCCCCCTCCAATCCTTCTCACACATTTATGACATGATCTTATTTCTGCTGTATTGCATCTGTGTGTGTTTATTGTGTACATCTGCTCTCCTGGGTCCCACAGGGCTGTTATTTCCCCTCACCCACCACCCCTTAGCTGCCACTTGAAATACTGGTACTAAATAATAACACAGAACCAAGCAGACGAAAAGACAAACCCCCCACTTTACCCCCGGTGCCTCCTTTCATTTGCTTAAGGTACCTGTACATTCTTTTTTTTTTTTTTTTTTTTTATGAATATAATTTCTTGAAAATGTCTCCTTCGCACGTTTTCCTTTTGTGGGTTGGTTTTAAAATTGTCATTCGAGATTGAACAGCACCAAGAAGCCGAGGAGGCGGAGGAGGAGAGAAGGAAAGAGCGAATATGGAGGAGAAAAGGGAGTTTGACCTGCGGGTGGAGGCGCCCGGCGGGTCCCGAGGAGCCCCGGGAGCAGCGGAGGGGCCGCGAGTTGGCGAGGCACGGGCGGTGGAAGGTGGACGGTGCCAGCCCGGGACGGAGCGGCGCAAGGGCAGCGTCCCGGTGTAGAGAAGCCCCCGAGGAGCCCACGGGTGCGAGGCAGAAGTTGGTGGCCCCGGGCGTGCCCCTCCCGGCGGTGCCGGCCCGGGACAGCGCGTAAGCGGCGGGGAGGCGGCAGTTTCCCTGGGCACAGCCCCCGGCCGCGTTCCCGGTTTCCCGGAGGGCTGCTGGAAGCCGGGCCGCAGCTGCCGTGCCCGGGTGCCGCCGGGATGTGCCGGGGGGGCGGCGGGGGGCGGCCGTGCCCGCGGTTCTCGTGTGGCTCCGCGTCCCCGAGCGCGCCCGGCCCGGCCGCCCCTGCCCTCGGAGCTCCTCCTGCTCCTCCCTGGCACGATGCGCGCAGGACACGAGTGGCTCCGGAGCACTTTGAGTTGCTCCCACCCCGCTCCGTGGGATTAATCCAGCCTTTCGGAGGTTATTTTCGGCAGGCAGCCTCGCGGGCGGGCAGGGCGGCCGGAGGAAGAGCCCGCGGCAGGGGAGGGATGCGGGAGCAGGGCAGCGGAGCCGGGCGGGACTGAGCACCCGCAGAGCGGAGCGGAGCGGAGCGGGGCTGCCCTGCTCCCCGTGCCGGGCTGCCCGCATGGCTCCCGGGCACTCTGCAGATTGTGGGGGCTGCTGCTGCTGAGCAACCATCCATCGTTTTAAACTCAGCCTCAACTTAGCGCAGCAGGCAAGGATGGCAACGCCACTGGAGCTTTGGAGCTGCCAGGAGAGCCGGGGAACCTGGGTTTTGGTCGCCGCTGTCTAATAAATGGGAGTAAAATGGAATTTCTCACCTGGGTTTTTCCTGCCTTGGTTCTACTGTGCACCCAACAGCACAGGTGTATCAGGTAAGAACACATCTTCTCGTTCTTTCTCAGCCTGGCCTCGGGCAGGCGTTCTCTCGGTCGGGGTGAGTGGTGCCAGGGCTGGCTGGGGCTCCCGCTCTTGCCCAGGGGTGCTTTGTGCACTCACGGGCCAGGACTGCTCGCAGAGAGTGTGCAGGAGAAAAGGGCTCTGGATTCAAGAGTTTCTTTAATGTGCCTCCTCTGTTTGGTTTTTTCTTTTTTTCTTTCTTGGTTTCCTTGCTGAGGGTGCACTTCTGCCAACTGAGCAGCATTTTCTTGGGGTAATCAAGGGCTGTGTGTTTAACGGGATGCCCCTGGAATGCTTTTCCTGAGGGCACTTACTCTAAATTGGGGGCAATCACTTTTTGGGAGGCACTGCACATCCCAGCACAGCCTCAGCCCCTCCAGCAGCTCTGTGGGGGCCTGTTTGAACTCGAACCTCTTCCACAAACCCAGCGGGGTCCAAGCTGAACAGCTCTGCTTGGGGCCTCCACAGGTACCGTTAAAACCCCAAAATGCAGCCATGCCTTTCTGGTGGGTTCATTAAGTGTCCTGAACTCAGGATACCAGGAAGAGACTGTCAGAGATCTTAGGGGTAAAAGCGTTTGGAGAACGCCAAGCATTGCTTAAAATGCCGAACTGTGGAGAAGGACGCCTGTCTGAAGGATGCCTGAGTGCAGCTCAGCCCCGTTTCCTCCGAAGGTGTTAGCTAGGCAACCAGCCACGGGCTCCAGAGATTCTCTCCAGATCTGGAGGCTGGATGTGGAGAGAGCTTGCCATGATTACGCAATGAAAATAGAAGGGGGTGTAAAAAAGAACCTGCTGCATGTAAAAACATGCCCACACCCCCCAGAGCAGAGGGGGCTGTGGCATTTAAGGGGTCTTTCAGCTTCTGCTTCGCGGGCATCGCTCGTACCTTCGGAGCAGTGGAAGAGGCAAAGTGGTAGCTGGAGAGAGACAGAGCATTGCTGTTACACTTTTTGGAATTCATCAGGGAGATCTGATTTTTTCACTGGGAAGGAAGAGGATCTTGCTCAGAGGAAGTGTCAAGTCAACTGCTCTTAGGACTGACATGATGATTTGTCCTGTGACCTTGAGTCTGTTCTGCAGGGTCAGATCCTGACATCCTCGTGCTCCAGAGCGATCCAGCATCGCAGAGAAGGCAGAGGAAATGCTGCCAAAGGGCACCCAGACCTTGCCCGTGATTTCAGTGATCCTGTTTCTCCCTCTGCGCTTGGGCCAGCACTGAGGCTTTGGGTTGAAAAGTGCCGTTTGAGTACAAAAGAGGAAAAAACCAGAATTTTAAAGATGACTCTTCTCAGCCTCTGTCTTTCGAGGTCTGCTCCCAGGCACAGCCACTGCCAGGATATGTGCAACCCATAATTTGTTGGATACAGTATTTTATATTTGGATTAATTCCCTGGTTACTTGACTTTCTTCCTCCCGTTACACAATAGTGATGAGTTGTTGGTTAAAAATACATCCACTCATGGCAGAGAGTCAGGCAAGGCAAATTCTAACTTCTGAAATCCCAACTGCTCAGTCTGTAGTTTTCCAAATGTGCCAGAGTGTGAGACATTCCATGGTCAAGGGAAGCTGCTCTGTTTGGCACAGCAGTTTTCTGCAGATTCAGGATTTAGTGTGGCTCTGGCAGGACACTTTAATCCTGGAAAAGGGGAGTAGCCTTGCTAGGATGTGTAATTGGGATCAGTTCAATGGAACTAGAGCAACATTTTCCCCTTGCATCAGTAAAAGTATTTTTGGTACGAGATGCTTTTATGAAAAGCAGTGTGATAATGGGCAAAACTGCCATTTTAAGGCTCTGATTTTGTTTTCTAAATGCAATGTGACTTGCAGTTTTGATGACAGAGGCCATCCAAAGCCCCTGAATTCTCTGCTTGTGAGTTCTGTGCACTGTAAATTGACAGGTGTAAGAAAAACATATTCCCCAAAGCAAGAACAGTTTGGTGGTTTTGGAATGCAGTGGTAGGACACAGGACTTCCCAAAGGCAAAACTACCACTGCAAACACTGTCCTGGTGTGGCAGAGGAGGGAAAGGGGACACACAGGGAAATGCTGTTCCCTCAGAGCATTTGGGAATATCCTTCCAGGGTGCTTTAGCTGTGTTTGAAGCAATTTCTCTGTCATGTGTGGTTTGACTGAAGGGAATGAGCCAAATTCGACCTCAGTCAGCACATTGTTTCAGGTAAACATTTTTAAAAAGTGGTATTTTTTGTCTTCTCGAGACAGTGATTAGTGGCAAGAAATCTGCCACTGGTATGACTGGCAGCTCTTTGGGGCAAAGACTGTGGCTTCATTGTTTTATCAGGGCTTGATATGCTGTGGATGCTGCAGGAAGAAATGCACCCCAGTGCAGGAGATCATCTGCAGGGAGACACTGGGGGAAATAGTTCTTCATTTGTGTGGGGAAGGAGCACCACTGAGGGGAGTTTGGGGGGCTGTGTCCATACTTTGTAATTCTTTACCAGAACAGATTTTAATTCTCCAATTAAAAATAGGTGTGTCTGTTACATTTAAGACTCTTCTGTGTTAAATGACACTTCTGTACACTTGCATTTAATTGTCCTTCTGCTGTGTCTCCCTAAGCCTTTTACTTCTATTCGTGGAAGCAGAGCAGCTTTAACACGTGAATATATGCAAAGGATGGTCCATTTTCTGTAGCTTAAAACTCACAGAGAGGCTTTGATGTTCTAGAGGTTGCCATGATTTAAGCCTAATGCCTTTTCAATTACATTTCAAAATACAAAACATATTTACAGTGAGCCTCACTTAAAGTCAGGAATGGCAGATGGGAAGGATACCCACACTGCTCTGGATAATCCTGGAATTTGACAGAGGCCAGATTGTTCTCTGACCTTGCAGGATATTCCTTGTCTTTTCCCCAAGAAAAAGTTTTCCTCAGTGGCAATGACATCTGGGACATTTTCCCCCAAATGCTTTACCTCACAGGAAATGAAACGTTCTCCACCCCAGTCCTTCAGTCAAACTGGTTTTTCCATCTACCAGGATAAATGATTCCTATAACAACTATGCCACAGTCCCCAAAAGAATCAGGTTAGCAGATTTAAAGGAGAAACAGGGGATGCAAAGAGTGCTTTTCCACATGCCTGTGTTCTGTGTGTTTGTCAGGAGGTCAGTGCACCCTCCCTGCAAGTGTGGCCTCGAATGGGTGCCTCACTGGCCACTGCCTTAGGCACACTCAGAGCACAGGCAGGCTGGGCCTCACCTGCATGAGCAGCCCTGCAAGACGTGCTGCCCACGTGGACTGATGCTGCTCCTCCTCATCCCTCCACACTGGTGGATGCAGTGGTGCTGCAGCAGCTGGGAGGAAGATGGCAGCTCACATAGGAAGGATTTGGGGATATGTGTACTTTTTATTCTAGAACTGATTGCACTTAGCTTGGAAGGAGATGAATTTCTTTGCTCTGTCATTTGACATTCATTGCTTCCCTAAATGACACCAAGAGCAGCTTTATTAGAGAAAGGAGAACTCCATAGGTTTTCCCAGGTAGCCCATGGGATTTCCTTTCCCCTTTGTCCAATGGACACGAGAACTCACTGTTCCTTTCACCACCTGAACAGCAGTAACCCATTTTCTGCTGCTAACAATGAGCTCACTTGAAGTTCTCCCAGTGCCTAAATTCCGGATATGAGCAGATGCAAATATATTCCCCAAAATATCTGTTTGAAATGAAACATGTACAGAGCCAGAGTGTGGGAGAAAACCCATCTCCTTCAGCTTTAGATTTGGGAACGACTTCCAGAGCGAGAGGAGCCCACATGACTGATGCCATTCAGCCAGAGGCTCCCCACGCTGGCCTGGTGCAAACTGAAGATAAGCTCTGGAGGAGCTCTTTTACCCCTTGCATTTGGCAGATCACTCCCCTAATTTTACAAAGCCCTCTTCTTACTAAAACAAGCCTTACAGCAGCTTATGTGGGGCAGGGAAGTTGCTGAATCAACTAATGGGAGTTTCTTTTCATCTTTCCTGCTTATATTGTGAAAACTTAATCCCTCCCAGTGCATCTTTTCTGGCTTTCCTTTTCTCAGGTACAAGAATGAGTAATATTTTAGGCCGTACATAATCCCAGCTCATCACAGAGGAGTGAAACCCTCCCAGCAAGGCCTGGGTGTGGGGTGCAGGAGTGCAGAGGAATGGCTCAAAGCAGGGCCCCCAGCATGGCAAATCTGCCCAGCAAGTTATTTCAGCTGGAATACTTTAACAGCCCCCCTGGTATTCAAGTGCACATAGCTCCACTAACTTCAGCACGTTTGTTACACTGATGGTCTGACCCTAAGGCTTCATTAATAATAGAAATGAGATTTATTTTAATTGTGTCATGGATATTTGAGTAAAACTCCCTCTAGATTGTAATCTGCTTCAAACACATGGCAGGCTACAGCCCACGGTTTCTAACCCGGCTCTCAGCATTTTAACTTCCTTTCAGCTCCTTCATGCCACTAAAATGGAGCCCTGACAGGGGAGCTGCTGCACACCCAGTGCTTTGTCAAAGCAGATGATCAGGCACACAGGGAGATCACTCCAGGGCACTCACCTTCTGACTCCAGCTCTGTTTGCAAAACACTTCCCAGAAGTGGCGGCAATTTTAGCAGCAGGAGTTGCAAAGCACCATCTCCTGTTGAAAAGGCAAAGAGATTTTAGGCAGATATTTCAGTTCAGGCCTACTGGAGTCATTTATTCTCATTAGGAAAAGACAGAAAGCACCATTCTTTACCCAGGGAAGATGCTCAGATGTTGTCACTGCTTAGGAACACTATTCCATACCTATGGCTTAGACTTACAAGTTACAATTAAGCACATTTTAAAACAAATTTGCCATGGATTAAGAAGCCATAATTTCATTTAAGTAAATACTGACAGCTGGATGACTGAAAGACCAGCACATAGAGAAAAGCAGTCTGATAGAAAGAAGTGTTGATATAGTTGATGACACCCAATAAAGAAGCAAAGAACCTCTGTCAACATTTGTTATAAATCTTCAAAGCCCTTGTCTAAATCAATTAAGTTATTCCAATTCATGCAGCTGAAATCGTGGCTCTGATCCCTAGCCAGAAGAGCTGGAGGAACCTGAGAAGTGGCTGGGACAGTCACTTGAGATGAACACACAGCACTGTGCTCGTGGAAGGAACTGTTATAAATGCAGTTTAAAGTAAGGTTTTGCTGGGCAGTAATGAAGTCTCACTGGAGCAGTGTCCCTGTGTCAGGTCACACAGGCTCTGACAGCTGCACTAATGCGAGCCCTCAGTGTCTCTGCTGCTCAGAGCTCACATTTGTGCACTAATCCCACAACTCCTCCTTATATAATTGGCTCTGTACACGAGACAATTTTCTGCCCAGGGCAGTCAGAGTTTTCCCTCAGTCCCTGTGGGAGGAGGAGTTGGGGACTGCAGGAGGCTCTGCTCATGGGCAATGACTGCCGGTGCTGAGCTGAGTGCCCAGGCCGGCTCACAGGGAGCGGGCACAGCTGCATCCCAGCATCCACGGATGCATTCCAGGCAGCATGCAAAGTGGCTTGGTTTCCCTCATGTTTTCTCTAAGTTTCTAAATCTATTTTTCCTACTTTTTTTTTTTTTTTAAAAGAAAGGAAAAATCTTCTGGAGTTATGTACTTGTAATTCAGCAAGAGGCCACAGTCTTGCCTGAAGTATGTTTTGCTTTACACAGAAATATCTGAAATGGTTTTCCTACCTATACACAGTGCTTTCCCACTAAGTTTCCAACACAGCTGATTATTCCATATGTGGTCTCTGGTGTGAGAGAAGTCCCTCTTCCATTTTCTGTGCTTTTGCTGTCTGTAAACACGGGCACGTTTCGAAGGACACTTCTCTGCTTTCCCCAGAGCTATGAGTGACATCGGAGACTACATCGGTTCCAACATCGAAATCTCCTGGCTGCCCAACCTGGATGATTTAATGAAAGGCTACGCTCGGAATTTCAGGCCTGGCATTGGAGGTGAGGCTTGGACGGTAACGCCTCTTTTGTTCTTACGGTCCCTCTACCCTCTGATGTTCATGTGAACTTCATCCTTCACGTGACTCAAAGGTTATGAGTATCTTTCACTTGGGTACTGGGAAGAAATAACCATCAACAATTTGGATGGTTTTGACAGGAGACAGACTGTACAACAGCAACACAGGCTTCTGAGACAGTTCTTAAATCACTGGCATTGAAGTTGAAGGAATTTTGTATTACATTGAATGGTGATAATTCCTGCATCTGCTTGAAGTCATGCTGTCTTAAACTAGAAAGTGTGATTTCCAGAAAGGATTCCATAGTTTTCAGTAGCTGTGATTGTATCTCTTTATCACTGAAGTGAGGTTGGATATTGAGGTAAAAATCGGTACAAGATTCAAATCTCTTGCTTTAGGGTAGGTTCCACTTGGAAAGTGCACTTTATAATGGAAAACACTTTTGTGAACTCTCTCTCTCTCTGAAAGAATTGAAATCTTGGGTCATTTATGTCTGTGTAGGTCCTGTGATGATGTCAATGACCCCCTTCAACCCTTTTCCCCAGGTCCCCCCGTTAACGTGGCCCTGGCCATCGAGGTAGCCAGCATTGACCACATCTCAGAGGTGAACATGGTACGGTACCTGAGTCTTCAGTTTTGCTCTAAAAAACGTTCAAAGCCCAAAGTTGTACTGTTCTTTTTTGAGAAATACACAACTCTTGCAGTGTATTCCGTGTAACACTGATGTTGAAGCGGATTATGATGGTTTGGGTTTATCCATGGCAGAAGCGTGCCAGGCATTCAAATGCTTGGGCAGCTCTCTGGTTGACTGAGTATAAAAATACTTCTTTGCACTGGAAGCAGATAATGTACTTCCAGGCTAATACAGTGATTTTTGGCTGAGCCCCAAGACATCAGCACTGTGTTTGTTCAGCATCACCTCTCACCTGGGATTTCCCCTGTCACAGGAATACACCATGACAGTGTTTCTGCACCAGAGCTGGCGAGACGAGCGCCTGTCGTACAACCACACCAACGAGACCCTGGGCTTAGACAGCAGGTTTGTGGACAAGCTCTGGTTGCCAGATACTTTCATAGTCAATGCCAAGTCTGCCTGGTTCCATGATGTGACTGTGGAAAACAAACTTATCAGGCTGCAGCCAGATGGAGTCATTTTATACAGCATCAGGTGAGTGAGGAAGAGCGAGCGCTCTCTGTTGTGCTAACTCCTGGGACAGACTGTGGAGTAACCACTGTTTTCCTAGCATGGTTTCATAAAAGAGTTGTTAATTTAATATGGAAGAAAATCTCCTGTCAGAGATCCCTTTGCTTTCCCAGGATGACACTGCCAGGGAACACTCACAACTTTGCAGTGCAGAGTCACCGACCATGTTCAGAATGTCCTCCAAGTGTCTCATGGCTCTTTGGCAAAGATTCTCTTCTCCACTCTCTATTTCCTTTTTCTGATTTCTATTTCACTATTTCCAAGGGAACTGTGAGCCTGATTTAGGCTCAGCTTCCCCATCTCTCAAGCAGAGAAAGTGTCATTTCCTCACCTTGGAGGAGTGCTGTGGTTGGAACTGGAGTGGAAGTTAACTGGGTAATGTTCCACAAAATGATGAATGTGCACCCTTGAAATTGTAAGCCCAAAATTCCCATTAAGGTATTGGTAGGGATCCTGGGGACAGTGAAAGGAGGCCGATGGAATCAGAAAATTCCTTTTCATTGTGAGAAGTAGCTGAAGTGTCCTCTGCCATTAAAGTCACTTGACTTTTCTTTAGTTCCCTGCCTTTGGTTTCCCACAGACTCAGTAAAGGCAACAGCCATAAGGACTTTGAAAAGAATTCCATTCACTGCTAAAAGGGTTTCAAAGCTTTCCCTTCAGTGTTCTGAGTTCTGAGGAAGAAGCTCTGTCTGAATGCAGTAACTGGTGTTCACATTCCTGAACAGGATCACCTCCACAGTGGCCTGTGACATGGACCTGTCCAAGTACCCCATGGACGAGCAGGAGTGCATGTTGGACCTGGAGAGCTGTAAGGGCTGAGCACCCTGTTTGGTGAACCAAACCCTGGCTGTGCTGCCACCTGTGCATGTGGGACTGGGAGCTGGGAGGGAGCTGGCACGGCTCTGCTGGGGGCAGTGCAGTGTAAGGGGTGCCTTGAGATCCAGAACAATCAGCAATCCCTGCAGTCCCTGTGCTGGGAATTACACAGTGGACATTTCAACACCAGATCAGCTCTGGCCCAGTCCAAACTCTAGGATTTCATGTAGAGATGATGAACAACGAGCAGTGCTGTTACAAATGTCTGGAGCTCTGTGCTTGATGTCAAACCTTGTGCAGTTGTGACAGTCACTGGCATTACTGAGGTTTGCATCAAATCTGGAGAGAATAAGTAGAGAAGCCCACAGGCAAAATTTGATGTGCTATTTTTTTCTTTATGAGAAAAAGGGAAAAGGAAGAATTCCCTGCTTTTAATGAAAGCCCTTGTGACTAACCTTTACATAGCTGTTCAGCTTGCCTTGGCATTCCTGTATCTGTGACACAGAAATCCATCAGAATGCTGCCTGGATTGGCTTCACTCCTTTGGACTCACAAAGGAGGCTGAAGAATGAGTTTATATTTTGCCCAACCTGTAGTCTATCTATGATCAGCATGTAAATCCCAGCAGCATTAACACTTCTGAATGAAAACCACCACTGACACAAGCAGGGCCACCCAGTCTGTGGCAATGAATCTGGGTTTTAGATCAAGGAGCCTGAGGGTTCCAGAGATTTGGGAGCAGCAGTTTTTGAGCAGATCCCTGTGCCTGTTAATGCCAGTTTCTCTTTTTCTTTTTTAGCACTGACTTTGTTTTCTAGGCAATTAGCCACAATACCACTTTATCCTGGCAAAAATAGCCATCTCCAGTTTTCCTCATGTAATCACCAAATGCAGTGACAGCATGTCCCTGGTGTCCTGCACCTCCCCAGGCAGAAGTGTCCAGGCTGAACCCCAGCATGTTTGCAATGGGTCTGATGGAAATCAGCATAGCAGAGGAGTTACAGAACTTCCACTGTGAGCCCTCTAAGCTCTTCACCTGTGCCTCGACCTCGGTGTTTACTCAGCTTCCTTTTGGCAGATGGCTACTCCTCGGAGGACATCGTGTACCACTGGTCAGAGAACCAGGAGGAGATCCACGGGCTGGACAAGCTGCAGCTCGCCCAGTTCACCATCACCAACTACCAGTTCACAACAGAAATTATGAACTTCAAATCTGGTAACAAGATCTCTCCTCAGTTCAGGGGGGGATCTGACTTTTTCCAGCACAGGGAAACCTCCTGTATCTATGACAGAAAATCCTTCTTCTTAAGTAACTAATTTAAGAACCTGTCAGGTGTCTGATAAGAGTTTTCTTCAGCTTGCACTTGTGAAAAGCCTCCAGGTAGCCACTGTAGCATGTTGTGTCCTTTAGCATTCCCTGCCTGGCAAAATACTGTGTGGAGTAGCCAGACAGCACTTGACAAAAAACACTTGAGGTATAGCTCCCATTTTCTTGACCTAATTTGGGACTTCAGATCAAGAAAAATTTCCATTAGCCCTGATGTTACGAAGCTTATGACGTGCAGTCAGATCAGTAGAAGTCAGTGGTGTGTATGTCTATCACTGGGCTTATTGCAATGTTTGTACAAGATTGGAGTCATTTCTTTCCTGCTGATTTTTCATCCTCTTTCATGTATTCAGATTCTCATTTATGCTGCACATCTCCTCTAAGCTCTTTTTTTGAGTTTGAAATTAACTTGGCCTTTTAAAAAATCTAAATTTAGTATCTGGAGGACTTTCTACAGCAGATGATAAGACAGTACACATTTTGAAGCAATACTGTTATTCGAGAAGACTCACGATTTTATTTTCAGATCTGGCATTGATATGACCTGAGACAAATCATTTGACCTATTCTTAGCTGGTGAAGCTGCAGCACCTCGTGCAGGGCTTGTGGAGGGTGATGGAACACCAGAAGGGAAAGCTGTTTGTGATCCCTGTCCAGAAGATGTCAGAGCTCTGTGTCATTTTGAGTATCAGTCTGACTGTCATTCACACAGCCAGGGTCTTCTCTGCCTGCTCTTTTTTCCAGCAGGGCAGTTTCCCAGGCTCAGTCTCCACTTCCAGCTGCGGCGGAATCGAGGAGTTTACATCATCCAGTCCTACGTCCCCTCCATCCTCCTGGTGGCCATGTCGTGGGTGTCCTTCTGGATCAGCCAGTCAGCTGTGCCTGCCAGGGTGTCCTTAGGTAAAGCAGGTGCTGAGGGGGACTGGCAGGGAAGGCAGTGCTGGGGATGGGATTCTGCTCTCTGATAATCCCCACTCTCCATGAAGGTGCATTTATGACCACTCTGTTTTACTCCTGCAGAAGAGATGGTCCTTTGGAAGGCTTCCCTCCTGTTTTAATTTCTGTCATGTTATCAGAGCAGCTGCCTCAGGAAAGAACAGCAAATAACCACCTAAAGAGGGTTAAAAGCAGTAATGACTGTGAGGCAGATCTATGAAAGAATTCATTTGAAGGAATTGGGACAGTGGCAAAAAAAAATATTCCTGGAGCTTGTGGATCTGTTTGTCTGAGTAAGGGTTGCCAGCCCAGATGCAAAAGTGTTGGAGGGTTAAGTCTTTGGGTCTGGTTGCCCTGATCTAGAACAAAACCAAGGAGAACTTGTTCAAAGCTGCCTTACACAAATGCAGTTTTTTCCAAGCTTCTCTGCTTTGAAAATCAGGAGCCACAGTATTTGTCCTGCGAAAACATCCCCAGCTTCAGATGAGCAGTAAAAGCCTCCAGGTACAATAGATCAGCGAATCCACTTTGTGCCCTGCTCCCTGCAGGCATAACCACTGTGCTCACCATGACCACGCTGATGGTGAGTGCCCGCTCCTCCCTGCCTCGAGCCTCTGCCATCAAGGCGCTGGACGTTTACTTCTGGATCTGCTACGTGTTCGTGTTCGCGGCGCTGGTGGAGTACGCCTTCGCACACTTCAACGCAGACTACATGAAGAAGCAGAAGAACAAGATCAAGGCGAGGAGGCAGAGTGCAGAGGTCAGTGAGGGGCCAGGGGAGTGACTGTGGCAGAGCAGAGCCCCTGCAGCGTGTCCTGGAGCCGCCTTTGCCCTGTGCTCCCCGGGCAATCTCAGTGCCTGAGGCCTTTATCTGCCAGATTGCTGTGATGCTGCTGATTTCTTACCTCTGTCTTCGAGTTTTGCAGAAAAATAAACCTTTCAGGAGAGGCAGAAACTCTCTTATTGTCCTCTTTCCCTTGCAGATCAACGTGAAGAACGCCATCGTTCTGTTCTCCCTGTCCATAGCTGGGGTGAGCCAGGAACTGGCCATTTCCAACAGGCAGCACCGAATTCCCAGGGGCCTGCCTGGATCGTACGGCACAATAGAAATAGAAACTGGAGAGACCAAGCAGCGGCCAGGGATGAAACTGGATAAAAAGACCGGCCTGAAGTCGCTGTTCAAGCCCATCGACGCCGACACCATTGACATTTACGCCAGGGCCGTGTTCCCAGCGGCGTTCGCGGCTGTCAACGTCATATACTGGGTGGCCTACACGATGTGAGACCCCAGGGGCGACAGCCGGGCCAGAGCTACACACTGAGCACCACCCCGGTGACACGGCCCTGCTGACACACAATCCAGCCATCCCTTCTGCAAGGATCTCCCAGCGAGCTCCAGACACTTCTGAGGCCAAGCAAGCCCTGCTGTGAACTGTCAGGAAAAGCAGCAGTGGGGTGCTGATCTGATTTGATCCAGTAAGAACTGTGCTGTGCCAGCCCCCTCCTTCCTGGCATACCCTGAGACAAGTTTTCATATGTACATATTTGTAGCAAAAGTTAAACTCTTAAATGACCATGGTTTTCCTCCCCTTTAAGGGTTGATCAGTAATGAAGATTTGGCTTTTCACACTCAGATAATTTCCTTTTTTGTAATGAAAGAGTTAATTCCTCACTTGTGCACATGAGTGATTTTCTGCCTCTGGCCTTCTGTGGGATGGTCTGGGTTTAACAGTAGTGGGAGAGTTGGAGTTTTTAATCAGAAAAATCTCATGAACAAAGTAAAAAGGAATAGAGGGGAGTGGAGGTTTTTCTTAAAATATTATTTGTCTTGGATAAAATATTGAAAAAATTCAGTGCTCTTAGTCACAGCATGAAATAAAATATACTACATCAAATTCTACTGAACTGTTAATAATGACTGTATTACATTTCAGATGTAAGCTAATGAAAGTTTAAACACTTAAACACAGAAATGTTTATTAGTTTAATAGGCCCCAAATATATAAAAGTGATTTGGAAACACAGGGAAAGCTCAGGCTTCCTGTGTTGGATTGGGAAGAAATTTAAAGGTGCTTCATAAGGAAGAACTGAGACTCCATTTTCAGGAAGGGCTTTAGAATTTGTTCTGTTGATTGCCAGTGAGATTCTACCATGTGTGCCTCTGAAAATATCCTCTTTGAATCTGTCCCTAAATGACTGAATGAACTACAAAAAAGAATTCACAACTGGCTTTAAGTTACTCATTTGCTTTGGATATTTTTGCCATTTTTGTTCCAGGTAGACCTGATCTGTGAGGGCTCTTCACTTCCATTATCCAACAGGGAAATCTGTAGGTCCTCAAACACTCCTTAAGTCAGGACTAGACCCAACTCATGCAAAATAGCACTTTGTTGTGTAAATAATTGCAGTGAACTCAGCACATGAACACAGTACTCCCAATAAACAAGCTTCCAACTGACCTCTGAAATCTCCCCAGTGAATTAAACCCACTCGAGTATTGTCCGTGTAGGAAACCAATGTGAGATACCAAAAAGGGGAAATTTATTTTGAAGGCTTTGTTGCCTTGAAAGTGAGAGGTTTGTTTTTAAATACAGAGACTGACCCAAAAGCAAATATGAAGGGAGAGGGAGAGGGAAAGGAGGCAAAGCAAGGGGCTGAAAGCTGAGATGGAAGGGCGAGTGGGCAGGGGTTAAGCAGGTGTAGGTAAGAGAAGAGCTTTGCTGGGACTTGCAGATGGGGATCTTCAGCGTGGTGGCTGATGATTAATGGTTGCAATAAGGATGAGAGAAGCATTTGATCCCAGGGGAGCATGAGCACATTCCTCCTGCCTTAACTTATCTGTGACTTAGGGTTTGATTTCATGCTTGCAGCACTGATTTATAACTGAGAGTAAGATCTGTTCAGTATCAGTCAAGTAAGAGAATGCTCTGAAGAAAAACCAACGACCTTGAACTGAGCTGTAGTAGCAAATATGCTCCACTGCAGGTTTAGGTTCACCTCAATCTTTAGTTTCTGTTATCATGGAAAACTGTCAGCCAGCAGTGTGCTGGGAAGCCCAAACTGCCATGAAGCTGTAACTGCTCCCCAGAGCCCTCCCCACCCCAACCCCGGACTGGCACACCCGGATTCTGCTCCAGGCTCTCGGCACTGACTGGCTGGGGATCCCTAGTTCAGATCTTGCACTGCATCATCTCCAGAACTGCTTTAATGACACTGGTTTCTTTGAGTTTTACAGAAGACAAACCCTCCAGGAGAGGCAGAAACTCTGCCCCTCCCCCTGGGTAAGTGCATCCAACAGGTACTCCCGTGGGGGGATTTGCCACAGTTTCTGAGGCTCTCACACACTGAATTACAGCACAGTAACTCAACTGCCACCTTATCCAGAAAGCCAATGGAAAGCTGCATCTCCTTCAATGATCAGGTAATCAGGCTTCTTTTTTCCCCTCCTGCTTCTCCTCTAATTTCCTTTTCTTGCTGTTTGTTCCTGATGTTAATGCAATGTTACATTACAGAAATACACTATTTTATCCCCAAAGTGCATTTTTGCTCATAATCGCTTTCTCTCCCATGAAATTCAACCTCTCCTGCTCTCTTCTGAATCCTTCTGACTGTTTTATATAATGATCAAGTGCAGAGTGGAATAACACCAGCAGAAGCAGGACTTTACCATGCCTTTTCCTTACTAGGTCGTTGCTTTGTCCCTGATCCATCCCCACGAGAGAACTACACCCTTTAGAAAGGCCAGGGTACCTCTCTGTTCTCTGTTACACTTGCAAAAATCAGAAATAACCTGTGGTCTGAAATCAGTGCTGGGAAAAGGAAGAGTCCTTTCTGTACCCTGCAGGTTTCTCCAGCTATGAGTTTATTATGTTGCCTGTCAGGGTCAGTGTCTTCTGCTCAGAGTGAAGTTATTGACTGAATTCAGCTGAGGAAACACTCACAGCCAGTTCCTGCAGAGTGTAAATCATAAGAAAAGAATGTGTGATTTTGGAATTAAAGTTATTAAAGAGCAGCGAGCAGAGCCTGGCCCTAGTCCCTCTAGTGAGCAGTGGCTGGTTATTTGCAGTAATTAGCAAGGAGGTGGCTGCAGATATTATAAAGGCAATGTCTGATCTAATTACTTCTGCAGTAATAGTTTGTACTTGTGCACCTGACATAACTCCTTACACTGCAGCCAACTGACTGATCACATGGGGTTATTGGACAAAATTAGTTGCTTCTCCATCTGGGAGACAGTCACAGGCTGCCTGTCCTGCTGACTGCTCCAGGAGATTTATTCAGGGAGGGTTCGCTGTGCTTTCAGAGCAGCTCTTCAAGGTGCTGAGCTCAGTGTGGCTGATCCAAGGCAGAGGGGGCAGCCATCCCCTCTGCAAAGCCCCCAGCCAGAACGCCAGCCTGTCCCAGTGATGGACACAGGAGCACAAACACAGGCACAGGAACACCTCAGGAGGGTGCAGGCGGGCAGGAAAGCGCCCTGTGGGCTACAGATGGACACGTGGCCATCCCAGGACCGAGGTGGTCAGAGGGGAGGACAGGATTTTGGTTACTGCTACTGCACTTGCATGAGTAGCACAAGATAAAACACCTCCCTCAGCAAGAGTGGGATTTTCTTAAATCTGTTTCACAGAGCCGGAAACAGGAAAACTCAGATGCCATTCAAACTTTTAAGGAGATGTTTCAGTACAGGAGTGTGGTGAATTGACTGGAGTTTTGCATAAATTTGAATCTGCTGTGCTTTTGCATGTGATATACTTTTTTTTTTTTCATTTAAAATCATCATATTTAAAAATCCTCAGGCTCTAGTACTTTAGATCTGTTAACATCTAAAGGCAATTCCCTATTCAACTCTAATTTCATGATGCCCTTAATAAAGTAAATAAGCCAAATCTGGTGTCAGTTGAATGCTGACTTTGGATGGGTTTTACTAGTGTCATAAAAAACCCCTCTGTGACAGATCAGAAGGCACCTGAAAGCATTTGTGTTCCTTTCAGCAATTTATAGTTCTGCTCTATGGACTGGCGTGTCTGTGAGAAAAGGAGTGGGCTATGTGTTAATGTAATCATTCTAAATGTGAAGTGTTAATAAAATGTCCATATACAGACACTGGAGCCTCTGTAAACTGACAAAACAGACATTGCAACTATTGAACTGGAAGATGAAATGCATTAGAAGGACAATCAAAAGAACCCCAGAGATCTCATCCCATAAGGACGTTCTGCCTGTTGAGGGCCCAAGGGCCTTGCCAGCAGAGGAGGAAGTGTGTTGTGTGCTCAGGAGAGCCTTGGGGGCACTGCTGCAAACTGCTGTACTGATGGCTAAAAGAGCTGCTGCTGCGGCCTCGAGGGGCTGGAAGGAATCAGAAAGCACGAGATGAATGATGAAGAGCAAGATACTGCATGATGGGTTTGAAGGGAATGCCGGCAGTGAGAGCACTATGAAGAGTTAAGATACAGAGATGTCTGTCCTGTGTCTGGGTAGCAATGAGAGCATTTACCCCAGCAAAGGAAAAGCTCTCCCATCAGTTCATTTACCCCAGCCAAAGGAAAAGCTCTCCCATCAGTTCCTAACCACTTTGCTAATCCAATAGATAATGTAGCGAAACCAATTTCACTCAAAGAGGCTTCTGCTGTTGGGACAAGGAAACACTTAATGCGATTGCTCTGCTTTGAAACACTCCCACGTCGTTAACCTAAAAAAGCACTTCCCATTAGGAGGAAACAGCCCCCTATACGTTCGGATCTGAAGCATAACAGATAACAAAAAGCTTATTGAAAGTTTCAGAGAATATTTTTGTTTTAAAAAAAATAAATCTGAAGCAACTCCCTCCTGCCCTCTTTATTACAGTGATGGTTGAAACCACTGGCAGTGGCTGAAAGCCTGTTGGACACTAAAATAACACTGCGTGCAGTACGTGGTCCAGACATAGCTCACTGTTCTTAATGGAAGTTGAATAAAAATTTGGCAGTGAATGTGTGTTTTTGGGTGGATTTGGGAGCTGAGATGAGGAAGGCAGTGTGTCCTAAATGAGATGAACTGCAGATCTAAGCCCCTCGTTACGTAAGGCACCAGGGATCTGCTCCCTCCTCAGACCAGCGCTGTGTCACTGCTGTGCCTCTTGCAAACTCCTGTGGAGTAAAAACAAATCTGAGAGGACAGTCAAGCCCAGGCTGTCACAAAATATAGCACCAACAGGACTAATCAGGGGCTATTGGGAGCTCATTGTTCCGTGAAAAGATTGGTCCAAGAAGATAAACCCAAATATCCCTCATTTCTGAGACACTGGGAACCTTGGGAAGCTTATCCCTTCTTTAACTCTTGCAATACCTCAACTCCACTTCATCCTCAGTGCTCTTTCCCTTTTCTTCCCCACTTGAAAAGGGAAAAAAAGGAGGAGATTTTTGTTCACAAAGCTTTGTACCTTCCAAGGAGTGTTAGTGAAAGGCAGGGAACAGCCCAGTGCTGATTCCCCAGCACACTCCCCCACAAACACAGGCTCCCTGGCCCATTCTCCTGCACTGCACACTGCAAACCCTTGCACACAAGAAAAGAGAGCTTCACTCAGCCCTCAAATTCTCCACCCTCTGAAGGAAACTCTTCTCTGTAACCTTGGCCCAGACATCTTTACCACACTCAGTGGGCACCAGAAGTTACAACAAACCCAGGCTGCATTGTGTGCTCCTGGGGTCAGTGTGTGAGTGAGAGCAGCACAGGGATCAGCAGACTCTCAGTTTTCATTCACAGGGTCACCAGCTGGCACAGGGCAGCCTTTCATTCCACACTAATGGGTAAGTGGCCAGCTTTGGCCAATTGGAACAGGCAGAGCTGCAAGCAGCAAGATAATATAGAGGCCATTGAGCTATTCCAGCACTACAATTACTACAGCCTTAAGATTAAACAAAGACTGAGTGATGAAATGCAGAGTAATCTGTAAAACATCTGGTGTAATGCTCCAGCCAGGCTGTTCTTCCTTTATTGCTACGTTTCCTTCAGCTTCAGACTAATACAAAAGATCTATTTCTGTACCTCTTAAACTCGCTGTGTTTTTACAGATATATTTAAGATTATCCTGCCCTCATCTTTGTGGGTGCAACTTTTACAAATACAAGCTTGCATGTGCATATGGAGAAAAGACAGGAGGGATCTATATTTCTTTTTTATAAATTACAGTGCATATAGTATTGTAAAATTGAACAGGTTGTTTAAATATCCTGGAAAAAAAAAGCAAACCAAAACAAAAACACAAAAGCACAAAGGTTTGGTTTTATTTGCTTTTAAAGATATGTAGCTTGGGCTACTCATGGAATTCTTTATCTTCCTGGCTAATGAGGTGTCAACAAGTGGGTTAACTTCTGGTTGGTTCTATCTTATATAAGACAGACAAGTAAGGGAGGTGTTGGCTTAAAATAGTCTTGAAACATTATTCATTTTGCCTATTTTAACATGGGCTGGAAAACACTAATATTCAAGCCAGCAAGAAAATCTACTAAGAATTACCATGGTGATTTCTGGTGTTATGTAGGATATATGTTTTACTCCAGTTTATGTTAAAATATATTAATGCTTTGCCTTATTATTTTCACCCAAACTTAATGGCATTTGGCCCAAAGTCGTTCCCACTGAACTCAGTGATTTCACTGGCAGGGATTTCAACAGAAACAACATCTTGTCTCTTCCTTGGCCAAAAAAAAAAAAAGAGATGCACATGGTGCTGGTTGGATCTGCTGCAGAGACATCCTGTGGGGAGGCACTGCCATCCTGGAGTGGCACAGAGCTGGGACCCACCTGTCACACGTGTTTGTGGACAGCAGCCACCTCCACTCATTTACCTGCTGTTCAGTTCAGCCTGAAATCATCACTCTGATCCTGACTGCACCTCTAAGGCCTGGGAAAATGGACAGGTCCTAGGACAGCTGGGGATTTCGAGTCACTGACAGGATACCTGCTGACTTCTCCTGAGGTGCAACTAGAACCGATGGCCCCCTTTTCTCAACAACTGGCTTTAAGAACTAATTGCCATAATGATCCTCCTTGGGGCATTTAGGAGGGAGGAAAGGAGTTTGTTTTGGTCAGCCTCGACAGAGACAGAGCAGCACTTTGTGCCTGATGGACTCAGGCAGCACTTTGGGTTAATGCCAGCACATTTTCCCCCCTTACACTCATTTCTAAAGGGCAGTTCCCAGCAGCCTGAGGCACTGAGACACAGAACCAGGACCTGGGAGCTCTGTCTGCACAACCGCGTTTCCCGGACAGTTGCCTGGGAATCTCTTGCCATCTGCTGGAAACGTGCAGATGTACATCCCGGAAGGAACAGCCTCGAAGTTACTGCCAGAGCCAGGAGTGCCACGAAGTAAGGAAGAATGGCTGGAAAGCAGCACCGGGGATGATCCTCGCTTTTAGTCAGAACCACAGTTCCAGAACAAGCTAACTCAGGCTCCCAGCAGCTGAAATACCAACACCAGGTTCCTTGATAAATCACCTCCTCCACTGCCACAACAATCTGATGATCGGATGCTGAGGTTGAATGTAGAGTTATGGACTTATTTTCAAAACAGAACTGGAATATTTGAAAAAACCCCTCCTTTTTTAACCTTTCTCTTTCTCAAACACATCAGTTCACTTCAGAATAAAAGATCGGACCTCAAGAGATAACAACAATAATAATAATTTTTAAAAGAACTAAAATTTTAGATGCAATAAATATCTAATTTAAACCTGGAATAAAATTAAATTACCTGCAGGAGCCTGTCAGCTCTTCAAATCTTGGTGTAATAGGCAGCAACACTACAACTTTTCATTAAGGTGAGGATGGCTTAATAGAAAACAAAAGTGCAATGCCTGCCATCTGGGAAAAAAAAAGGAGAATAAAAAGCTTAGGAATACACTCAGGATTTACAGCTTGTTGTGTTTGCAAACCAGTTACAACCTTGTTAGATGATGCACAGAGCAAAGCCAACATCCTCTCCAAAAAATGCCATCTGCCCAGAAGTGAGAAGCATCTATTAGGAAATTCAACTGTTTAAACAGTTTTGTGATATAAGAAAATACAAACCAACCCAAAATAAGACTTATAAAATAACAGCAACAAAATATCTCCGATCAACTACAAAGTATCTGTGCAAGATGTAAAAATACTGAGTTCAGGTTTTCATCAAGCACTGAAAACACACCTAAGCTTTTGTCCTTGGTAAGTTGTGCTGGAAAAAAGAAACCCAGAACAACCAGGAATAAACCCCACAAAACCTCAAATCACAGTTCTGAAGAACCTTTTATCTCCCAGTCCAACAGCTCAAGGAGCTGCAGATCAAAGTGTAGCTTGACCTGAAAGAATTATGTTTAAAGACATATCTTACATAATGTTCTCCATTTTAAGCAGAGAAATTTGGAACACATGAAGAATTAAGGGCCAACTTTGAAACCATATTGACAGTTCCCACCAAGATAAAATTAGCAGAGGCTGCACAAATAATTCAGATTGAAGACTGATAAATGAAACCATTTGGTGCATTTCCTTGGTGTCAGAGAAAACATCTAGACTGATGGGAATTAATTTCCCCACTTTACTTCTATTTAAACTAATGTCAACAATTATTTATTTGTGTTTTGGAAGACTGCAGAAACACCAAAAGGAGGCTCAGAGCTACCATGCTGCAAACTCAACACATACACACCTCAAAGCCCAGAGAGTCATCAGAAAGTGCTAAATAGGGCCTGAAAAGAACTTGAGGCTAAGGATTGAATTTCTTCCCATTTCAAAACACCAATTATGACAGCTCAACTGCAGGCAGCCCTCAAAAAATCTAAGAGTGGTGACTCCTTCATTTGGTTTATTTTTCAAATTTGGTGGGTTACGTTGCCCAAAGGTGGACATAAACAGATCAAGAAAGGCCCCAAAGCAGACCTTTCTCTTGGATAGCTTATTTGCCTGGAAAAGTTTGGAATTACAGAAGGAAATCAGGGCAGGATAAGCAGCATTTCCACTAGAGGACTCTCTGAGTTCACCTCCCAGCCTTCAGCGGAGGAACAAAGCTCTGATCTCCTCCACACAGGAGATGTTCCTGCTCCAGTCAGAGCATTCACGGTGTGGAAGATCAAAGGAGCATTAGGGAAAAACACCCAAACCCAGCTCTACAAAGCGAGGGGCATTAACCACGCCACAGACAGGCTCTTGTGAGACTGTGGTTACTCCAACAGCACCAGCACAACAACTCTGCTGTTTCTCTCTCCTCTGCTCTGGCCACTCCAGTACTGTTATTTTATTCCCTCTTTCTGATAACTTTGGCTGCGGTTTCCCTGTTCCAACAGCTGTGAGCAGGAGCTGGATGGGCACTCACAGGGCATCCCACTGCTGGCTCATCCCACTCACAGGGGATCCCATTGCTGGTTCATCCCACTCACAGGGGATCCCTGCTCCTCCACTGGGGGAGCCTTCCTGGGAATCAGTTCTGACAGCCTCAGGGGGGCACACAGGGCCTGTCCCCTCACACCTCTCACCTGTCCCCTCAGCACTGTCACCTGTCCCCTCACACCTCTCACCTGTCCCCTCAGCACTGTCACCTGTCTCCTCACACTTCTCCCTGCTCACTGTCCCCTCAGCACTGCCCACTCACCTGTTCCCCCCTCAGCCTGTCCCCTCATGGCCCCTCAGCCCTGTCCCCTCATCCCTGTCCCCTCACGACCCCTCAGCCCTGTCCCCTCACCTGTTCCCCCCTCATCCCTGTCCCCTCACCTGTTACCCCCTCAGCCTGTCCCCTCACAGCCCCTCATCTCTGTCCCCTCACAGCCCCTCATCCCTGTCCCCTCACCTGTTCCCCCCTCAGCCCTGTCCCCTCAGCTGTTCCTCCCTCAGCCCTGTCCCCTCACAGCCCCTCAGCCCTGTCCCCTCACCTGTCCCCTCATCCCTGTCCCCTCACGACCCCTCAGCCCTGTCCCCTCACCTGTCCCCCCTCATCCCTGTCCCCTCACTGTCCCCTCAGCCCTGTCCCCTCACCTGTTCCCCCCTCATCCCTGTCCCCTCAAAGCCCCTCATCCCTGTCCCCTCACCTGTTCCCCTCTCATCCCTGTCCCCTCACCTGTTGCCCCTCTCATCCCTGTCCCCTCACTGTCCCCTCAGCCCTGTCCCCTCAGCCCTGTCCCGTCACCTGTTGCCCCTCCCGGTCCCCTCAGGGCCCCTCCCTGGCGCGCGGCGCTCCCATTGGCGCAGGTGTTGTCCCGCGGGCTCTGGTTGGCCGGGACGCTGCGGTGTCCCCAGGTAACGGTTCCCGCGCCGCGATTGGCGGCGGGGGGGCGGGACGCGGCCGGGGATTGGCTCCCCATCGGCCGCCGCTCCCGCCCTCAGGCCGCCATGTTGCCGCGGGCGGGGGTGGGCGCGGGGCGCTGAGGCGGGACCGCGGCTGGGGGGCACGGAGGGGCTCTGAGGGGGGACCCGAGCGCGAACCCGAGGGGCTCCGGAGGCTCCGCCGCCGCCGCTCCCCGCCGGGGCCCCGCCGGCAGCGAGGCAAAGTCCGCCGCGAAACTTCCTCGCGGGACTTTGAGCAACTTGAGGCCGCGGGAGGTGTCGCCGAGCGGCGCGCAGGGAGCGGCCCCTGCTCCCCCGGTGCGTGGGGCGGGACCCCCGCGGTCGGAGCAGGTAAGAGGAGAGGCACAGCCCGCTCCGCTCGGGGAGGTGCCGGCGCCGCCTCGTCCCTGGCGGCGGTGTCGCCTCCCCGTGTCATAGGCCGGGCTGAGGGGCCGCGTGTCCCCCGAGCCCCCGGGAGAGGAGGGGCTGCCGTTCGGGGTTTCGCCTCCCCGGTACCCGTGGCCCGGCTCGCCCGGTCGGCGGGGCCAGGGAGGTGTCCGGGAACACGCAGAGGTGTGTGAGGCGCTGATTTGGAATAAACAGGATGTTTGTCACCTTCCGATCGTAAAGGTGAGGTAAAGTTGCCCCGTGGAGTTCCCCTCCCGCTTCCCTGGGGTGAATTTATAACCGACGTTAATTGACTTCAGTGTTCTATGTATATAAAAACTATTTCTGGCTACTCTGTTCTGTGGAAGAAAAGAGCCAGACGCTGTGTTGATGAATAAGTAAAGATTTCCTTGGAGTATTTTCGGCCGAGAGGGAGCTGTTGGATGTGTTTTTTTAAGCAAACATCCTCAAACGGTTGGGATATTTCTGTAAAACTAAATTGCATGGGGTATTTTTAACCAATCTCGTTTAATTTCTGTGCAGGTCAGTGGTCTTATACAGTTTCTTTTTGATTTCTTGCTGTTCCATGTAAAGCTATTCGTGTTTCTAAAATTTGACACAACTCATTTGTTTAGCAGAGTGTGTGTATATTCATCAATATTCTGGGTTTTTTTCATATGCAGCTGGATTGAGAGTCATCTGGAGCAGAAACTCGTATTTCACATGTGAAGCTCTTCCCTTCAGAATTAGTTATCTGTCTTGAATGAACTTCTTTCTACATATTTATAATTTCATTTAGACTGCTAAATACAGACCATGCCTAGCAGAATGGGCTCAAAAATTGATTTGAACAAAGACTTCATCAGAGTAAAAACACACTACAGTGGGTAAGTCAGCGTGTCCTTTCCTCTGTGTTTGTGCCCTGTCTATTTTTGAAGCTTATTGAGCAGGAGTTCGTGGTCTGACCTGGTGATAGAGTAACCAGGGCACTGGTGGATTTGTAATTAATGTCAGATCAGGTAGGTAAACTTCTGGGCTATTAAAATACCCTTCAGAGTCTTGCAGCATGCTGATCAGGAAGGAAAGTTAATTTAATCTTCTCTCAAAAGAGGGGAAAACGTGCAGAACTGGCGTGCAGTTGTTCTGGGTTGATGGATTATTGATTCCCATGGTCACAGGCAGGTCTAGCTCCATCTCCAGCATCCAGATGCAGTTATTACATTTTATCTGTAATAAAAACGTCACAACCCTCTGTGACTTCGCTCAGCTGTCAGTAGAGTCAGGAAGGTTTTATTACTGCAACATGAAATCTGGATTTTCAGGTATGTTTAATCTGATGGATTTGCTGCCCACCTCGAGGACCTCGTAAAATAAGGTTGCTTTGGTCTCTGTCTTCCTTCAAGGCCTAACTTTAAATCATTTAAGGAGTTAAATATTTGGCCTAAGTAGATTCTTAAACTTGAAGTATTTAGACTGAACTTGCTGGCATTTGGTAAGTGACTTGAGTGATCTTTTCTGATGTTTTACTGCTATATAAGTAAATGTTGCTCTTGCTGTGGTGGTTCATAAACTTATCCACCAGGTCAGTGCCAAGTAGTTTGAGGTCCTGAGTTTAGAATTCCAGAGCAGTTGTATTAATTTGGTGATGCCAGTTTTCTCCGAAATTACTGTTAAAATGTATCTGCTTTTACTTTAGCTGGCTTCAAATTCCAGCTGTGCCACTGACTTTCAGTTATTTCCTTATGCTAAAATGAAAATAACAGTGCAAATACCTTATTGACACCCCAGTTAGAGATCTGAGCACGAAAGTTGTGAACCACACCAGTGCAGTCTGGGCATCTCAGGTATTCGTGTCCCTGGGTGTGACAGAGTTCCTGGCATAGCACAGGGTAAATAACTGCCTGAGCACATTGCAGGGGCAAGGCAACTTGTGTAATTCTTGTTTCATTGTTGCAGTTACTTGGGTTATCTGCTTTACACCTGGTGACTTGAAATCACTTGCACAGGTGCAGCCTTGTTTGCTGGCTGTTCCCTTGGCTCGAGGTGGTGACACACACTGTCTGTCAGTGGCAATGGGATTCTCTTGCTGTGGCTGCTCGTACAGAACTCACTGCTCCTTAGCTCTTCATCTTGCTGTGGAGTGTCCACTTCACATACCTTTTCAAAATAGTCCTGTGGGGTTCTTTAGTGTTAAACAAGGAATGGTTTCCACTTAGCTGAGCCCTGCCTGATGTGGCTGTAGAGACATTAAGAAGGAACGTGGGCACGAAGAATATGCTCCCTAATTCACCTGTAGAGTGGCATCTGTTACGATAATGTTAACAATTCAAGGCTGATAAGTATTTGCCAGCTTTGGTTGGAGTTTGTAGTGTGTAGGTCTGTATTTTCAGGTTTGAAGTGGATTGTCCAGCTACCACAGACCTACAGGTGCTTGATTTCATGAGCAGCTTGTTGTGGCAGTGCCTTAAATAACGAGCTGCATTTGTTAGTGACCTTGTCTTGGGGCAAGGCACTGCAGCAGCCCTCAAACACTGCTGTGAGAACCAGTTTGGTCTCTTACTTTCCTAAATGCATAAAACATGACTTCTTTGACAGGGAAATGCTCCTAAACTCGGCCTCACCTGACAGCTCTCAGTATTGTAGGTAATACAGGTTTACAGGGTGGCAGGTGGTGTATGTGTTGCTGCTGCTGTTTTGTTATGAAGAATTACTAAGTTGCTGTTCTTTGAGAGCTTTACAAAGTGTAGATTAAAGTTACACTTGAAAAGGTAGCAGTGCTTTTAGTCTGAATTTGGAACAGTGCAGTTCTTTAAAGTGATTGTCTTAGAGCTTTGCTTGTAATTTTTCTCAGCAAAGGCAAAATGGAAAGTTATTAATGCATATCATTTAAAATGTAAGTTGTGGAATTTAGGTTTCTTAGTTCAGCATAGTACTATTCAACTGCTGGCTGAAAGACATAAGTAGGCAGAATATGATATGACATTTTTTCAAAAATGACTTGTCACACAGGATGGGAATAGGAAAGTTATCCCACTCATGTTGGACAACTTCTACTGTATTTGCTATGTTAGAGGTGAAAGAATTAAACATGCCAGTAGCCATTACCTACGAAACACTCTCCTCATTATCCCCTGGAAGGTTTTGAAGGCAGCAAAATTACTTAAATTCATCTACTGTTTCTTCTTCCACTTGTTTGTTTGCTGGTTTCCCATAGTCATTTGAAAAGTATTTTAAAAAGAGGAGAAAGTCTAGTTGGTATCATGAGAGTTTGTTGTGTATAATCTCTCTTCTTTTTTTAACCTTTGAGCTGCAGTGCCAGCCCTGTGTGGGCTTTCCCTGTATGGGGAGTTACTGTCACAGTGCTGAGATAAACTGAGGGTTCCCATCAGCCCAGCTCAGTGCTGGGACCACCTTCTCTAAACACTGTGGAAGTGGAGCACAAGGTGCAGAATTGGAGTAAGATTTTATCTGAATTGTCCTGTAATTACATCTTGTGACAATTCACCTAATCAAAGCTTCCTCTCTAGCTATATAGTGGATGTGAGGAAAAGCCCACAGTTGAAAAGGATTTTACAATAATGAAGATTTTACTTATCTCCTGATGGAGGAATTACCTGGATTAAAAAAATTAATTTTTACGAAAGCTTCTGTTTTTTTCTAACAACACTTCAAAGGCTGATAATTATATTAAGGGAACTTTGCTCACCCAGGTAAACATGCATTAAAGGTAGGTGATTAACACAATTATTTTCTCTGTACTAAAGTGGGTTTTTTTGAAGTTAAGCACTGAGAGATGTAATCCTGGTGACATAGTGGGAGCATTTCATATGAGGAATGCTCATTCTCCAAGTGTGATTCTGCAGCTTAGTGTCCACAGATGGAATTGTTGGGATATGCAGGCTAATGCAGGTATTTCCTGATAAAACCTGATGTCTTCACGTCCTGCAGGGACATCCTGATAACAAACTTGGATGCCTCAATGAGCTACGCTGAACTCTGTGATGAAGTGCACGAGATGTGCAACCTGCAGCAGGAGCAGCCAATCACCCTCAAGTGGATTGATGATGAAGGTATGGGACTGGAACACTGCTTGGGCATTCTTGGGTCTGTTCATCGTGGGACAGAGCAGGGGCACTGAGGAAACTTGTATAACCAAGTGTCACATTGTGGATAGCAGCCTGTGCTCTCTCTTAGCTGTGGAGTGTTTGAATCAAATTTTAAAGTCTGGGGAAGGAGGTAGCCTATAGTCAGAGTCAGTCCTTTTTAAGATATCAAGGAGTAATATCAATTATTTTTGAATTTACTCTTTGTCTTCTGATTACCCAGAAAGACAGAGGCAACTCTGCTAACCTCAGTTTTCTAACCTTTGTTTTCCTGGGGGTGTAATAAAAAGTAACCTGATCAGAAGGGCATGGAGGGTAATTACACTGCCTGTGCTTAGCTGTTTGAACTGCATGCCTGCTAATAAAGGAAGATGGTTGCAGGAAAGGAGAAAACCTCAGGAGTTCTGTCTTGGAGGATTTGAAGACATGAGTCCTGCTATCTGTTGCACTGGCTTTGTGAGGCTAACTTAAATTAAAACAACAAATCTCTTCAGTTGCAGTTCTAATAAGTGTTGTCCTCCAACCTTGGCTAAATCCATACCTGTCCAACCCTTCTGGCTCTGAGCTGTTGAGTTGCAGCCAATCTGCTGTGTTGGCTGTCCCCAGCCCTCCCGGGTTTTGTGTTATCCTGTGTCTGCATGTGAGTGTTTCCACTTCTTGCCACATGGAATTGGAGTTCGTTTGTCTGACTGCACAAACAGATGTTCTCTTTGAACCAACTAAAAGCAAACAATTGCCGATGGCTTAATGAATAAAGAAAACCTACCAAGAGCTGAAGAAAGCAGATTTTCTTTTGGGCCTTTGTAGTGTTTCTTTGTTTTTGACAAGATCCAAAATGTTTAAGCTATGAATAGCTCGCTCATAATAAAATCCCATAAACATATAACAAATGTGGATTGTTGATTTGCAGTACAAATAATTCCAGTTGTCTTTCATGCTGCATTATTGCAGTATTTATAGATCATCAACAGCAGTGGCCTTCAAAGAGGAGTAGATGGGCCCTGGATGCATCACTTTATAAATGATTTATCAAATAATTTTTTAAGATAAGAGCTCAAACATAGCGTGTGGCTGGACCCCGGTGTCATCGCTCGGCCTGTCTGTCACAAGGTCACGTGTCACCCGGGCTGTGCTCAGGAGGGGGTGTTCCCAGGGGGTCAGGGGGGCAGAGTGACACCCTGGCTGTTTGCTGGCTCCCTGTCCATTGTGACGTACTGTACTTTATGTGGGTCTGCTTAAGGGGATTTGGGGATTAATTACCGAGTTTTAGCAAAAATAACCCTCACAAGGTAATGCTGATAACGTGACCAGGAGCAGACAGGAAAAGAAGGGGATCTTTAAGTATAGCTGTCCCCTTTTATGTTGTGTTATCCTGTGGCACACCAGTGCAGTGCAGTTCTATCTACTCAGTGTTGATAAAGTTGGGAGGAATAATTCTGTTACTCCCTTTCGGCTTTGAGCAAAGTGCCAGCTTAGTAACAAGTGATTCAAAGAAGGGCAATCCTCGAGGCTGGTGCACTTTTTACTGAGTGATTGAAGTTGTGCCCTGAACTCCTCAAGGCTGCAGCTGCCTGTGTGTTTCTTACAGGTGACCCCTGTACCATCTCGTCGCAGATGGAGCTGGAGGAGGCCTTCCGGTTGTACTGCCAGAACAGGGACGAGGGGCTCATTATCCATGGCAAGTATTGCACAGTTCAGCCCCTCTGTGTGTCTGGCAGTCCCAGCAACTGCTGCAGGGGCAGCTGGGGCTGGAGCAGCTCCTCTGTCTGTCCAGTAACAGTCCTGGTGTAGCTGGTGCCCTGCAGTTTGTTGTGAGAAGAAAGTGGAGCCCAAAGCTGAACTGCAGCAGCCTTTGAGTTTTAGCTGCACAGATTTATGGGTGCTTCACTCCAGTGTAAGATCCTGCCAGTCTGGAACCAAAGTTTGATTACATCATTTCTCATTATTTAAGTGCTTCCAGAAACTACCTCTGTGTAAATATACTCAAGAGTCAAGGAAAAAGGACTACTGAGAATCCTTTACCTTAAAAATCTAATGTTTTTGTTTTAGTTTTCCCAAGCATTCCAGAGAAGCCCGGCATGCCCTGTCCAGGAGAAGATAGTGAGTATTAAAATGTTGTCATATTTTAGCTAAATATTTTGCAGTCATGTGGAAAAGAAATATATTAAAAGATTTTCATGATCTATTGTTACAGTCTTGTATCTGTTCCGTTTTCTTAAAAGAACGTAAAATCTTTAATACTTTGTCAACAGAGAAATGACAGAAATCAATGTTGTAGCAGTGTTTTAATGTTTTTAATGCTGGTTTGCAGTAGTTGATATATTGGGAGGAAGAGACAGCAGGATTTTAGATGCATGTTTGAACATGGGTATTTGCTTTTGTGGTTCTTCTGGGCTTTTAACTTGCAGGGAAAAGAAGGGATGTACTCAAGAGGGAGATACAACCATTTTAATAAAAAGGTTATTAATCTCTGTAAAAATAATCCTGTGAAAGGTAGATAAAGCTCCAGAGGAAGGACACATAATTGATAAGGTTCACCTGTATTTTAGTAGCCTGAGCTGCACAGGGATAAAAGGATTAAATGGCTGTAGAGTCACTTTTCATTATGGGGGGATGGCATCAGGACCTTAGCTCGTATCTTGGGAAATGTTAAGCAAAGGAATGGGAATAACTGGGTGCCAGAGGCAGCAGATGATGCTCGGCTCTCACTGGAGCGGGAGGAAGAGCTGAGTGAAGAACCTGAAGGACCTTTGCTCTTTGGAGAACAGAAGAGGAGATAAAAGTAATTGCTGATAAAATGCTAGAGAAGAGTACTTGATTGACCAGGATTTAACTGACAGACTGGCTAAAAATGTGTGGTGCAGTGGTGATAGTTATGAATATTTTTAATTAGAGAATTAATACTAATAATTGCTCCATTGAGGACTTTTACAAAGGTGGAGTGAGTGTAATAAATACCAAAATATTACAGTTCAAATACGATTTCTCACGTTTGAACTACAGTAGGTGAAAAGTTAAACTAGACAAGTTTTCAGGTTATTAAAGTTGTCTTTTGGAAAGAAAGAAGAGTAAATGTGCAACACTGTCTGCTGTCCTTGTTCAGCCAATTAGAGAAAATAGAGACTTTTCTACTCTGATTAGAAGAGTTAAAGAAATGATCCCTGAGACACCTAATTAATGAACTCATTAAAGGTGTAGATATTGTAGCAGAAAGGCTTTTTGGGTTAATTTGTTAGGAGTTGCAGTTCTCTCCAAGCTGAGGTGGCTCAGCTGACCTGGTTATTCTGTCTGGAGGGTTTTTCTCCTTCCTCTTTTACAGCTCACTTGGATCACAGTGGGGTTGGTTGAAAAGCCTGTTCAGTGGGATGTGCCTGGTGAGGGATTTGGGGTCAGGTTCCTCGTGCCTAATGAATTACTTTGGGGCACTTTGCCTCTTTGCATCCCTGGACCCTGCATGGAGATTGGGTCTTGTGGCCTAAGTGTAACTATTTTTTGCAACAGACCTATTAAATTGTATTGAAATTGTAATTTAGCATAAACTAGTGCATTCACTGTTGTTGCTTGTTAGCTAAAGGCCTACAACAAACATCTGCATTGCACTGGGGCTGGATGGAAATGGGATTGATATTGGTGACATAAAGGACTGTTTATTTTGTCAGGAGTAAAATACTGTCCTTTGTTCGGGAAATATTCATCATGTTTAAATTCCTTGTGTCTTTATCACTGTCCTTATGTTCATAGGGAATACTTTTAAAAGTGAGAATATTATGATGTTTGCACTTTTCTAGAGCATCATGTTTGCACTATAAAGGAGCTTATGAGTTTGCCTCAGGTTTTTTCCAGAGACAAATAAACAGTGAAGCAGTTGCTGTATCCAGAATGGGCCTCTACTTAAATTAGGACTGTCTGTGTGGACTGTTGGTTTGTTACAGAGCTACAGACAGTTTGAAATGGAGTTTTTAAATACAACTGTTCAATAGTGAAGTAATTTCATTTGCAATCCGTTGCTCAGCCCTGTTCCTATTAGGTGATGGAGTGACTCTTTCCAGTAGTGTGTGATCTCCTGAACTGCAAATCCTCTGTAGTGGATTTCCACAGACTTGTAGGGCTTTCTTTCCAGCTCCTTTGAACAACAGTGCTTTGGAAGAGCACAGCAATGCCTGCTGGATGGTTTGCATTTGTGCTGCAATGTAATGATGCAGCTGCCAGCTACCCTCACCTGTGTTAAACTGAGCTTCTGGGATTGTACCAGCCAGCAAGGCTTGAAATAAAAGCATGTCATCCATTAATGGAATAAACCATGGGACTAATACTTCCATTCTGTTTGCATGACTTAAGAAAAGTTATTCTCGTGCTTGAAGAACCTTTCTTCTTACACTGGTGTGGTGCTGTCTGGGAGGCAGAATCTGCGCCATCTCCAGCATCTGCGCTTGAATTGTCTCAGGGTTCCTTTGCTCCTGAATTTTTGCACTTTTCTGTTGGCAGCAGCCCCAGATCCCGCTGTAAGTGCACAGCTGCTGGTGTACAAACAGCACATTTCCCTTCAGCTCCGCTGTGCCCACAGGCTGGGCTGGCAGTGCCGCTGTGCTGAGGTGACAGGATGGCTGAAACCTCTCCTGCCTCTTCCCAGACACTCCATGTGACCCCTGCCAGGCGCTCCCCGCATCTGCTGGACAGGAGCCTTGGTGCTTGGGCAGCTTCCTGAGAAAGATGGCAGACCTTGAGACTGCTCTGGGGTTTACAGATCCTTTCAGTTTTTCGGTGGGTGGGCTGTTTGGGAACTACTCTGGAGCGAGGCTGTTGGGGGTGCTTGGTGTGCCCTCTCCTGCTCCTCGACACCGCAGCCCCGGTGATCCCGTGCTGTGCATCCCAGCAGCTGCTGGGCACTTCTGTAACTTAGTTATTGTAGTCTCAGCTTATTTCTGCTGACAGATCCTGCTGTGATTTATCACTCTTGGTGCTGCAGTCATTGTGTAACGCGGCACGTTCAGCCCAACAATTTCCATCGATTTGTGGGACTTCCCTAACGGAATTGCCGGTTTTATCGGAGAAATGCTTGTTTTGGTGACATCAGCTCCTTGACATCCATGCCATGTTTTAGTTTGTGCCTCAGCTGCTCGCTACAGCCTCTCAAGGGAGCCAGTACCACCCGTGCCTGGATACATGAGGCAGAGATGTGAAAGGGAGAGACGGGGGTAACCAGTCTTCCATTAAATATTTGCTCTTAATGTTCGAGCTGATCCTGCCTATTGTCCTTGGTGTCTAATGCTATTCACACAGCGGCATCCGTGGAGTGCAGGGAGGCTGTTTCATTTCATACCTACTGCCCTGTAAAGAATTCCATGCTGAAGAGGCTAAAGAATAGAACCCAGTGAGTACTGCATGTGTGTGTGGGCTGGGCTGGGGTGCCGTGTGTACGTGTGCTGCAGGAGAGCACCCAGCTCAGCATTCCGGGGCTGGGCCGGGCGCCCTCCCTGCCACCCTCCTGGGCAGCCATGGCTCGGTACAAATGCAGACACTGCTGCTGCCTCTGAGCCTGGGGATGGGGCTCAGCCACCTCTCGGAAATGCTGGTAAAATTGCTTTGAAAGGACTCCTGGGGAATGTGTTTTAGCAGGAAAGGAACGGAAGAGTGAGTGATGCTGCTGCTGCTAATATTGGAGATTAATGAAAGAAATGTATCCCAAAAACCCTGATGGTATGTGCTCAGGGCCTGCATATTGTACGATTGCTGATGTACAGACTAATGATTTACAAGCATCATTTTCTGAGGCCTTTTTGTTGAATTGTGCTTAGTGGATTGTCATAGATGGATGTTTTTTAATTGTTAAATACTTGTTTTGAATTAAGGTTTACTTAGTCTCAATATTGTCAGAATTAACTGTGCTAGTTTACTTCTGCTTAACAAATAGATCTGTGTATTTAATATTAAAATTCATCTTAGATTTGGGTAGCTGGTGCTAGCAAATTCTAGGGTTGCTTTGCTGTTGGCTCATTAAATAGAGGAATGCAGACTAGGAAACCTTTAATTAACAAAAGAATGGATATGTTTTTAATGTAGCGTGGCAGTTTTTATTCTCTAATATTTCTGGCTGATTTTGCTGCCTTGTTTTTCTGGTAACGATTACCCCGTGTTGTGCATGTCTCTGATGCTCTTTGTTTATCTGCTCAGTATTTCAGCATTAGGTGTTTGGGCTTCATTTTCCCCCCCAGCCATCCTTCCTGAAAATTTCATCCTAGGCTTGAGTAAAGGTATCTTAGGAACCCAGTTGCTGTTGTGAACTTTATATTTTAGGTGTAGACATTGCATTTTGCTTTATGTTCTGCCTGCTACTATGAAATAGCACTAAAAGGCTTCTTGCTGGAGTAGTGTGGCCTGTAAATATTTTTCTAGCTCCTCAGGCAGGTTTTTCCCTTCATTTGTTACTGTATTGGCAGCAGTGATTAGGTTATTCAGAGCACGTGAACCAATTTAATCCCCCAATGAAGAAAGGAACTATTGCCACCATAGAGACTGTTCTGAAGACGTAGATTGGATTGCATGGGATAATGAGGCAATTTGGAATCTCCACCAACCCTCTCCTGCTTTTTGTAACTGAACTGGGGATGGGGAGGGGGGAATTCTGCGATTTCAGTGGAAGATATTCTTGCTTAGGATTTGAAAACAGCTGTGTCATAGTTTCTCCAGAATACCTGAAATCTCCTCCTGTGCCTTAACTGCGCTGCACGTCTGGGTCATACGTGACAGACGAGAGGGACACACAGCTCACAAGTTCTGGGAACAGAATTGCAGGGAAAGGCCTGGTGTGCTTGTAGTCATTCCATGGGTTTAATTCTGAAACAATTTCAGCGTTTGGCTGTGCTGTGAAACCTCCCGTGAAGGATAAAGGGCCAGGCCTCCCTTTGCACAATTGATGCAGAAAATCGTAAAGCACAGGTCTGAGGGGGAGGTTTGGGAGCTGCCCTTAGAGAAAGGTGCTGGGTGTCTCAGCAGATGTTCATACGCCAATTTGTAAACTATAAACTGAAAATACACTGGAATAAGGAATGCTTGGGCTGGTTTTTAAGGTGTCATAGCAAATAGCCTGTGTTCTTTATTTA